GATTATAGGCGCTTAGCAAATTGATTTTTTTTAATCTTAGAAGAAATTTGTATTCGAATGTTTCAAGAATTGTTTCGGAAAAATATATTTAGGATTATTCTATCATAGGATTATATATTATTAGGATTATAGATATTAATCTAATTTGTTGCCTTTGGAACTATCAAAACAGCTATGCACATTTAGTCTGAAATAGATTTTTCTTTAAAGAGCACTCACTCGCTCAGCTACACGACTAAGAGTGTAATAGAAATGCATATAGTGTTAAGCCGCCAGCATTTCCATGATTTTTGGACAGGTTTACTATTGCAGTGATTAGAACTTCGACGCTCGGAAATGTGCAACAGTCCATTGAGCCATTTTACTTCTAAGTTTGAAATGGATATCTCCAGCCGAATAGCATATGTTAAGTGGTTCAATGAATAGGAAATAAGTTTTAACTAAATTTATCATTTCAATAGATTCATTGCTGAATATAAGAAAACGCAATAAGCCATTCTATCCTCTGGATGGTTTCATCTAATGAAAATAATTTCTTAAAAGTTTTGTTGCCTCTTTTATATTTTCTATTAATTGGTTATCACTATTATCGATTTCGTTTAGTGATCGATTTGACTATAAAATGCGACTTTGAAAAATGCTGGTCAATTTGGAAATGGTATTGCTTTGGTTTTGTTTGTCATTTAATCATTTATGTCAAATCATTTATTTCATTAATCTAGCATAAAATTCTGCTCGATTTTTGTTTCATTTTCATGATATTCCAATCTAATAATGTTTTAAAATTTATTTATTTATTATTACTGTATTTTCGTTCTATTTTTTTTTGTTATTCTAGTGGTTATTGCAAGATGCTTCCATCCTTTAATACTTTTACTCATCTTTATCAGTGATTCTGCAGGTGTTTTTTCGCTTATTTTCGCTTATTGCAAATGCGATTATTTTGATTATTTTGTTTTATTTATAAATTCTACATTATATCACTTTATATCACTTTCACATTATATCACTTAACACCTCTAAACGCCTTAAGCTTCTTGTAGTATTTTGTTTATTATAAATATTTCATAGAATCAACTTTTCACCATATGATTTATAATTTATTGCGTAGTTTGTCCTTTTAAATGCTCGTTGTTGCCACTTCATTCATTTGTTTAAAAATTTTCATAAAGCAATTGGCAAAGATTGGCTGTTTTACTTTTCCACAATGTTTTTAGATAAATTTATTTATTTTAAATTTAGTTAATTTCTCATATTATACAGATTTGAACTGAAAAATAATTTTTTCTATTTTTTGCTAATTTTTGTTTTAAATTTCCATAGAATCTTATAAAATTAAACTAATTCTCGATTGCAGTTGGTTAATAAATATTAATATTAAATTCACTGGCAGCTTCTTCTTCGTATCATCAAAAATCATCTTAAAAGTAAACGATTTGCATAATGAAAGGGTCTCACCTTATTATCTGAAACAAACGAAAGGAAAATGGTTTAGATGGACGAAATTTAGCGGTTTCAGCAAATTTTTTGTCGCTGCGTTTAGTGTGAGCTAATATATTATATAAACTATGTTAGCTTATGTTCCTTTATTCGTAATGAAAAACTAAAAACTGGCGTTGGTCAACAATAATTTCGTACGGTTTAAATATTGTTCTTATTAATAATATAAAAACTACCAGGCTTATTGTTTAATAATATTTCTGACCCGAAAATTTATTATCGCATGGGATTTTTCTTTAATTCGTGTAATCTCTTAAAATACTACCAATTTTCTAGAGAAAACTTGCTTGGGAAAAATGCCTTTTTTTATTAGAAATTATTAGAAATAGAGAACTACGCATGTATTTATCAGTGGTAGTCGTGAAACTTCAGTGAACTGCATTTTCCATAGATTTTGAGAAAAAAATTTTCATACATACTGTTGCTGTTTTTTTCTACTATTCATATCTAAAAAGCTCTATTATTCATATCTTAAAAATCTTTTCCTTAAAATTTATTTAAGTTTTGCTACTTTTTTTTCTAATATATGAAATAGTCAATATTCATTTTCTGTTATAAAATATCTAATTCTGTAGACTATCTTATCTTATCAGAATCATAACTTTTGTTTCAGGAATCACTTTCACTTTCTTAACGTTCCTAAATCATTTTCTTAATGTGTGAAAATATAAATGATGATAATCTAAGATGTTTGCAATATAAATTCATTGAAAAAAAATAAAATTTCCAAAATGTTGCAAATATTCGCAGTAATAATTCTGATGTAAAATTCCTATAAATCAAATAGTATGTAAATTGAGGAGTTTTATAGACAATATAAAAGTTATAAATTTTTATAACCAATATCTAAGCATATCTTAGCATACAAATATGTCTGCCATCACCACTGTATTATTACGATGGTTCTTTCACTTCTCAAATTTTGAAATAAGTAAAATCAATGATCCTTCGTGGTTCTGGCGGCTCATTCGTACTTTTTATCACCTAATGTTCATTAGAAAATGGAGTAATTTTTCAAAATAGTCAAAGCAGAAATAATAATTGAGAAGATAATGGCAAAGGACTGAAATGAAGGCCATGTAAATGGTATAGGTTCCTCTCAAAATAATTTTTGTATCTATGAATGTTTAGCTGATTCCACGGAGCTCGAATGCGATCGTTTCAGCAAAGAGCATTTTGCGACAGCAATTACTCAACAGTTATCCCAATTAATATATGTTGTTATAATTTATTTGTTTTTTTTTAAAACTTTCTCACCTCCTGTGGGTAGTGAGCCATCCACAATCTAGAGTCCTCTACCAGAAGCTTGAGAACTTGAGGGTTCTGTGCAGCGTCTTGTAGTTGTAACAGTTTTTTAGAGATTTCCGACATTATTATTCATGGAATTTGGTGAAGCAACTTTCCCAGTTTAGAGGCTACAGCTCGTGTGTTCCTATTATCACTTTTAGCCTTCCTTTTCCATCTTTTTCTAAATCCTGGCATTTCCTTACCTTTCCATATTTCTACTTCCTAAGATTCATATCACTTGGTATTGCTATCACAAATGTTAATTTCTAGTTCTTGTGCATTATCATAAAATCTGGTCGATTGGTCTTATTTCTTTATCTGGATGGAGAAGTGATGCATGATCTTCGCCTTATTATCTTCTATGACTTTTTAAGGAATTTCTGGTCTAAGCTATATACTAAACAAAATATTCCTGTAAACAATTCTAGCTATTTGGTTTAAATAATGAATTTTATATATATATATATATTATATATATATAATTTTATATATATATATATATATATATATATATATATTTATATAAACTGGAATTCCACTGAAGATTTTCACATATTTCTGATAAAATTATGAATTTTAAAGTAATTTTAAAATTTTTATTCTTATTATTTAGTTGAGGATGGAAAGAAAGATGAAAAGTAGGAAAAGCAGTAGCATCACTATTCTGCAAAAAATTAAAATATTTTAAATATTTTATTTCAATTAATTAAATATTTGGTCATTTTTGCCAACAAATTGTAATAATAGTAATTTTGTTAGAAATTACTTAAAGAGTTTGGCTTAGCAAAATTTTTTTATTCTTTTTTTAATATGCATTTTTTTTAAATAAATATATTTTTACTTCGATTTTTCATTCGTTGCATTAATTTATTTTACTTTTTACAAAATTTTTCCACTAATTTTAAATATTTTCCCAACTTTTTGAAAAAAAATTTAATTTTTAGAATTGCCTCGGATTTATTTTTGCTTAAATTTCACCACAAACAATAAATATTTACTTTTTTTTGCCATTTCCGATAATTTTCGACTTTTATTTAAATAAATAGATATCTTAGAATAATTAATATTACACTTTAAACCGCAATTATCTATTTTCCTGTGGAAAAAATTCCTCGAATTGCTATAAGTTTTGTATTCTGAATGCGCTTACTATTTCCGGTATGGCACATTTCATGCCAAATAAATTTTGCTAGAATCATTTGGTGATAAAAGAACAAGGAATAGGAATAGATTATTTGAAAAAAGTCTATTTCTCGTGTGAGTGGAACCCCTGTACTACCACCCAGAAACGAGACCAAGAGCCGAGTGGATTATTCCCAAAATTATTTGGGATTATTTGGTTTATATATTTATAGTGCATTTTTTCTACTTTATTTATACTGATGAATATGAATACATAAAAATAAAAAATGTGCTTTTTAAATAAATACATTGATTAGAAAAAGGAAGCGCTTCAACTATAAATTTTTTTGGCTTTTTTGCTTTTCAATCACAGCAATCGTGAATTTCTCAGTTCTTTTATTTATCAAAATTTCCAATCAACAGTTTCGCCAAATTTTTTGAATCGAAGCACCATTTGCACCATTTTTAACTTGTTTGATTACGCATTGATCTGCGGTAGGGTAAGTTGGAACTAGTGGATTCCCAGAAATCCTAAAGTTATAGAAATCGAAATGTTTGTCCTCTTCCGAGGTGATTTGTAGAAGAAACGATCTAATTTAATTTGTTAAAGGAACAAAATTCCAGATCGAAAATATTTTACCCTCTTAAATTTAGCAATTCTTTTTTTTAGTTCCACCTCGAGATAAGCAGCAGCATTTTTTTCATTATTTTATTGAGAAATATAACTGGTTTTTGCAAAAATTTTATTATTTGTTCAAGTGATTCTGTCTTCTGTTATATACATTCTTCACGCTTCAATTTTTGATATAAATTCATTCATTTTTTCTAAATTGTATGTTTTATTATATAAATTATACATTATAATGATAAATAACGCTTAAAAATAAATTATTTGGATAAACTATCCATCAAAAAAAATATTTTTGTGCGTTTTATTGTAAAAGAATCTTAGATTAATGTGTAAAAATCCTATTAAATTTGCATTATTTTTTATATCATTAAACATGGGATATTAATTTTATCAAAAACTAAAAATTAGATAAAAATTCAAAAATTCGTGAAACTTTTTAAATATTTTATCATCAACAGTTATGAAGTCGACAGCAGCTGCTGAATCAAAATCGCCATCAAAATGTGAGAATATACCATTCGTTGAATTAGAATCGCCATCACTAAAAGAACATTCAATAACTGCTATACGACAAGAAGAACATTCAAATGCAGCTGCAACAGCTGCAGCATTAGCAACAACAGCAGCAACACCGATAGTAACAGCAATTTATCCATCTTATTCTATGAGATTCGAACCAATTAATCGAGAATCGAATTCCAAATTGAGAAATAGTATTCCATCTCTTAAGAATTCACTAGAAAAATCATTTTTCTCATCGGAAAATAATCTCAAACTAATGGATGCTAAGAATTATAACGGTTTGTTTTCCTTTTGTTCTTTCGATTTTCGGGAATCGATTTTTAAAAAAATATCTGAAAATTTCGGAATTTTAGGATTTTTTGCAAAGAAAATATTGATTCTTTCGTTTAAGTGCGATTAAACATTTGTCAGTTTTTCAATATGATGTTGTTTTATTCGACTTTTAGCTTTAATAATCTTTACAAATTTCGTTCTTTTTTTTTAACTTAAAGGAGGACATTGCGGTTCGACTCGAGACAAGAAAAAATTTTTTGAGATGATAGCAAACAGCGTAACTCAACGACAACCATCGCAAATGGATCATTTATTAAATCGAAAAATAGAGATGGGTGGATCATTAGCAATTCAAAGCGATCAAAATACAGTGATTTCCGGTTACGACTCAGTTGGAGAGGATTTTGCTGGAACTACGACGACTGACGAAATTAGCGGAAACTCTTCTCCAACGTTAGTGCGCTTTATTCAATTGTGTTTTGATGAATGTTAATTATTCGGTCATGATAGGAAGCTTGTTGAGGCAGCAGCATACTAATGCATTTGAGGCAGTGGATTTCGGTCCTTTGATAAGAATAAATAAATCTCATCGAAAGTGGAATTTGAAAACTTATGTGCATTCTATTTTAAAAATTCAGCCTTAATGATTAATAGATCCAACCGAAAATTGCATATTTAATTTAGCAAATTTCTAATTTTTTAAGGAAAATCACTTTAAAAATCTTAAAACAAATTTCAGTTTGATCGAGGATCCAAAAGCTAATGATGGACCTCATGGTACTTTATGAATTGCAATTTCTGAAAGCAGCGTTATCTTTCTGATAATATGAATTATTTTGTTTTTGTTCCATTTAAACAGTTTAAGAATTTTCTTCACTTAATCTAAATCATTACAATCATACAGCTAACAACATTTTGCAGGTGCCATATATTTTAAAATTTAATAAATTAAGCGAAATCTTTTAAATCTTGAGTGGTGTTTGAGGCCATTTGTATCATTCCTATGGCGAATGAATATCATACAAGTAACCAAAGAAAAAATGATAATTTAAGAAGAAAATCTTTTAAATCGTCTTTCCTCTTGCAATTTGAATAGCTAACTGAATAGCTAAGATGAATACATAGGTAAAAATAGAAATAAATCATTAAAAAGCTTAAAATGTGAAGATTAATTATCTTAAAAGAATATGAGGAAGATTTTTCTTCATTTGTAAATTTGTGTAATGTTTAAAGAATTGTTTTCTAGATGAGGTCCGATCGAAAACTACTCAAATCTCGGACCATATGTCTTACCACACAACTTTCACTGATTCAACCTTAACACAGGTTTTTTTTTCCTTTTAGTGCTTTTTTCTTTTTGCCCTTTTGTTTTGATTGCTACTGACAAATATCGAATATTTACTCATTTGAAGCCGAACAATTAAGATTCACATTGAGGCTAGCCAATTATTTATAATTTATAAAGTAATGCTGGAGAGTTATTCAATGTATTTTGATAGGTGAGAACTATTGATATTAAATAGTCCAAGTAGATGGCCTTAATTTAATGATTAATCGAATTTGGAGGTTTTCCTTGTCTTTGCTGAATTTTTTGGATTTACTTATGATTTATTTTTTTATAATTGATACTATCATATCTTACTCATATGAAATATTCAAAATATTGAATCTAAGCAAATTTTCGTAATAAAATGATGGTTTCGATCACTAAAATTGGTTTCTACGAATTTGACTGTATTCCAGCCTTTATTCCAACTGAAACTGATTTTCTGGCCAAGCTGTCTCACGGTAGTGATCAATGAGGCCAATCAAATCAGAAATGGCACTTATTTTTAGAAAATAAAAATACTGTGGAAGTATTTAAGTGGATCATTTATTTCCTTCATAATTGAGGCTTTTTTCTGGTGTTTTTCTTCACATTCTGCTTGCTGATTATTTTTTCAGTTGCTTTCTATTTTTTCAGTTGTTTTGTTAGAATTTCTTTTAGAATTTTTGGGTTTTTGGCCATAATTTCATTTCTAAAGAAGTCATCTTGAATAAATAATAAATTTATGTATTAAATCAAGCCGACGAATTTGTATCATTTCTAATATTATTTTCTTTAAAGTCATTCTTCCTCATTTTCGTTGATTATTTTTTAAATTTTTAAAAAGGATTTGCATTGTCAATAAATAATTCTTCGACTAAATGATATAGTCATAGTTGATATAATTATTCATTCCCCATACCAGGATTATTTTCTTTTTTTCTAAGAGAGCGTTTATCATTTCTGATTGGGCTCACTCAATTGGCTTGAACAAATTTTTTCAGGGAGTCATTTGGTGATAAAAATATAGATAAATCGCCAGCATCAGTCGAGTTTTTGAAATATAAGTTTTTATCTCTGCCATGAGTAGAAGCAGCATTAGTTACTATAAAGTCGTACCTAACTATTTACAAATTTTCTTATTATTCATTACTTTTCATACTACCTTTTTTTGCAATAAAATACTTTTACAACTATCATAGAGTAAATTTTTCCAATTTTTTTTTTTAAATCGCATTCAATCGTTTCCATATTTGAAGAAATAAGAAAGAGAAATCGTTGATCTATCCAGAGAATTATGCAAAATATAAAAAATTTTGATTTTAATGAAATATTTATTGCCAAAGGCATCAGCTGACTTTCAAACAAATCCTTTTTATTTGTTTGAGGTGTTTCTGTTAAATTTGTTTATTTGCAGAGAGCGAAATGCCACAAATCCAAACCATTTAAAGACACTTATTTTCATCGATTTTTTGAAAATATTTTCAATTTAAAATTTCAATTTTATTTCTCCATTAAAATTTATAAATTAAATTATCATTTTTTATTTTAAACTATGTTTGAAAATATTTTCAGAAAAAAAATTTTATAAAAAATTATATTTGAAGAATATTTTTAATTAAAATTGGTTTTTTTCGCTACCCATTTTTTATTAATTCCATTGTTCTGAACTTTTTCAATTATTTTCATTGTCAAAATTCTGAAATTTTCACTTTTTCTGGATTTTCATTTATTTTTTTTTTAAAATAAATCAAATATCAATATTTCGAAAATTTTTCTATAATCTTCTTTCTTTGTAATTTATTTTTCTTTTTTTGCGAATTTAAGCGATTTCGATATTGAAAAATTTTGCAGAAAATGCAAAGTCAGCCATTATCAACTTATGAAATGCAACTAGCGAATGAAAAATCTGTTCAAGAGGTAAGCAAATTTATATCAAGTAAATACCAAATTCTTTTCGCCAAATGTCAGAAAATTTGTGGTCAGTGCGATAAGCAGGTGCTTTAGAAATCCAGATATTCCGAAAGAAATTTTTTCCGGTTCCTTCCTTATCTTTGAAGCATGTAGTATTTTTGGATCGGCTGGTAGGTAACAATAGTTGCTGGTAGTTGCTTGTTGATGTAAGATTGTTTTCTAATGAGTTCATTAGCGATAAATGCATCCCAATATTCACTAAAATTTTATTTATGATGCGAGTTTCACAATTTGTTTCCTTGATAATTGATATGATATTGAATAAATTAGATTTTGCTTTTCTTTTTATATTCCAAACAAGCGATACCAATGATGCGTTATATTTTATCATAAAATGATATCTTATTTAAATGTTTATATCTGACATATATATCCAGCAAGGAATCGATGCCTTTAAAAAGTTGAAGCAATCAGTGAATTTATTCGAGGAGAACTTGGCATTTAATCCAGGAATAATCGAAAACAGATCGAATAATTACCAGAATATTCCAGCGACGAATTTAACTTCAGATAAAAAGCCAGAAACCTTAATGAGTGTAGTTTATGAGCCTAATGAAATCCAGTCAGTGACGTCTTATGGCGCACCATGCGATTTAAAAAGTGAAAACCCATTTGAGCAGAAGTTTACTTCACATCAACAAACTACAGAAAAATCAGCCTCAAGTGTAGAGCGATTAGCAGAAACTGCATTCCAAGAAAAATCACCTTCAAATGTTGACAATTCTCCACAGTCGAATATTCCAGTGCAAACAAAACCGCCGAAAGTAAATTTTATGCAGTTTATAAATTTATAAGCTTATTTAAATGATTAATAATCTTGTCGAAAAATTATTAAATCATAAATAGTTGTTTATTATTTTTTTGAAATATTTTAATAATCTGTACTATGAGTACTCCATTTTTTCAATTTTAATTCTGAAATTTGGGGTATGAATTTTTAATGCAATAATCGTAGCATTCGTCGATTTGCAATTTGCTGGCCAGAAATTTTTGAAGTTGATTATTAAAATTAGTTTTTTATATCGAAATGCAACTATTCCATAAAGCACGTCTATTCAAATAAATTTTTGTAAATTTCCTCATCCATATCGAAAATTGGCAAAATAATTCTCAAACTTTTCAAATTTGCTAATTAATATTATGTCAAGATTTCGGTGAATTTTCATTAATCATTTAAATTATGATTAAATTATGATAAATATGATAAATAAAGAATTTTTAGATGGTTCCTGCAGTCCCCCAGATACGTCATCAAAAGAACGATTCAGTTGTTGACAAATGGCCACTGAAAACAAATAACAAAGAGGCGATTACAAAAAGCATAATCGAAGTACCTGAACGTCAATCAGTTGCATCACTCAGACAAAAAATTGCTAGCAAACTTGAAGTAAAATCTCCATGCAGTACTATGCCTTCGAATGCGATTGCCAGTGGTTCATCCCAACAGAAACAAGTACCATATCAAAATTATTTACAAACTGATACCAGGATCTTATCGCCTTCGAAACCTACGATACCTGCATCAACGACTAATTGTTCTTATCAAGTACACGAACCAGTCCAACGGCATATTTCTTGCGTGACCCCGGTGTCCTTCAGCATGCCGAAATTAAGTCATTCTTCTTCGCAACAGTTCACAGCTCCTTATCAACTCCAGGAAAACTCTACAGATTTACTGAGAAGGAATAATTCTGTCCCTCAGTTGGTTTTTAATGTGTCGTCACTTGATAATAATAATACAGGATCTTTCGACAATTCCATTTATAAAAATAATTCACGAAGTGAGCTCAGTTATAAACCATCTGGCAATATGGAGGCACTAAATGTCAAGATTCATGAAAGCGATTCAGCAATAGATCTAATACCACCAGCGAAACCCCCTCCAATTCTCAATGGCAATATACCCGATCATTATTATAGCGGACATGTGCTCGTTTCACCATCAACTATATCAATGGACTCAACACAACCTGAAATGCCTGTCTTCTCGACACCTTTTGAACTTCGTTCTTCAAATAATACTTTTTTGCCGAGCTCAACCACTTATAGCTCAATAACTTCGAGTATACATTCCGATTTATCGAAACATAATAGCTCTGTATCGAACAGTGATATAAAATCTCGAAATATGACAAAACCTTTCTCTGATGAAACCAGTAATTCACAGTGGTACCGTAGAATGTATAATAAAATGCACAGAATTGATAATGCAGGTAATTTTCTTTCTTTCTCGTTATTGAGTGAAAACCAGCTTTACTTTGTAGCAATGGTCTTTTTTTCATTGTTTCAGTTGAGGACAAGAATTTAATTTCGATCCCATGAAAGTAGTAATCCTCTTATCAAAAATGAAATCTAGGTGATTAGCGCAAATCTAAATATATATATTTTTTCTTATTCTCATCTTTATTATTCATTTTTCATTTTTATCTATTTTTGCTTTTTTTTCCTCCAGATTTATCAGTTTTTCCCTTATTTTCCAGTTACTTTACGAAACGATTCAATTTCAAATATTTGAAACAATTTCGTCCGAAATAAATATTATTCATGAAACCAGTTTCTTTTTAAAATACAATTTTTTGAAAAATTTAAAATATTGAAGAATTTTTTCTTGCCTTTTCTTGCTTTTGAAAAATTTCAACTATGTTTTATAAAAATAAAAATGTAATTTTTTTTTATCCAAAAATTTAATATTTCTAGTAGCGAATTTTCCAAGCTTAAAAAAAATTTTTTTGACTTTTCACAATCGCATTTTTTTCTTTTTTTGAATTATGTGATCTCTCGTTGTTAAATATAAGTTAGCAGTTAACAATTACAAAAATTACAAAAATAATCAAAATCACTTCGGCCTTCATGTTTCAACGAATCAAATGAGCAAATTTTTCAAGCAAAAAGATCGGTCAAGTCAGCGAAATTATTATTTTATAATTATTTTATTTTATTATTATTCTATTATTATCTTATTTTATATTATTTTATAAAAAAATTATTATCATTATTTTATTATTCAGTGAATATTTTGGTTTAAAATTCTTCACATTTTCATGCAGAAATTTTTCATTTTCAAGAGTAGTTTTCTAGCTTTGCTCATGAAATATACTGCATAAGCTTAACCAAACTGTTTTTTAAAATTGAACTAATGTCTCTTTCATAAAAAGGAAAAAAATGAAAAATGAAATATTAGATTGTTTAGAATATCATCGGTTTCGAATAAAATTATATTTAATTTGGATAAAATAATTTTTCGAATAGGTGATATTCGATCATTTACCCATTTCTTCCATTCGTTAATCCAAATATTTATTAGCGCGTACAAATATCATCCATGCAAATTTGTTGACGAAAAAAATTATTTTAAGTAGAACAACGTGTTTATTTACCCAATGCAAATGCATTCATAAAAAATTAATTCAGGCATTTACTTTCTTTCCACAAAAAGCGCCTTTTACTATAATTTAATTTTATTTCAAATCTTTCTATTTTTAATTCTCTTTCACTTTAAAATACTTCGAGATTTCCTTATTTTACTTCACTCTTCGTCCTTCTTCTCCCCCTAAACAAAACAAAAGTTCTTGCATAAAGTTGTCAATGAAATTCAGAAACTTTACACGCTCATAAATCGCTCGAAAAATCTTTATTTATATTTTTAAGAGTATCTTTATTGTTTTCATCTTATTTCTCTTTTTTAAGTTCCAATATTTTCGTTAACTTTCTTTTCATATTCAATAATGTTTTTGAAATATTAATGGGTGATTTTATAGAACAATCAGTGTTCAAACATCATATGCGTGAATTAAGATCGCCATTTGCAGATTATAAAGCAAGGCGTAAGTTGTTTAATTTTAAATATTGCTTATTGCTTCAATACAGATTTTAAAAATCAAAATAAAATTAAAGTAGAAATATCGGTATAGAAATTATTTTTAATGGATAAGAAATCACTGTCAAGTCAAGCCTTCTGTAGGATGTAAGCAGCAGTAGATTTCCTTGTCAGTTGGTCCATATTTTATTAACACATGAAGAATCATAAATTCTAAATTTTTCCATAAAATCTGTATGACTCTTGGGCAGCCATCGATGTCTTCGTCTCCAAATGAGACGTTACATTAATTTTCTTAATAGCACCATTCTACATCTTATAGAGCAATATAAAGCCAGAAGTATAAAGCGGAGTAAACCAGACCAGAATAAGGAGGATCACAATGAATGATTATATCAAATGTGCTAAAATCATGGGCTGAACAATTATTTAGCTTTTATTTTTTTTGTTTGAATTTTTATAATAAAAGAGGAACATTTCATAATATCACTTGCTGAACCTTATGACGGTTGGGTTCAAAAATTAAGTGGTCCAACCAACTCGGATTGAAACAGAAAAGATTTTGAACATATATAGGTGGACCAGCAATATATGGACCTAGACAATGGAAAAAGGAATGGCTTCTATTATTGCCAGCGATGGCGTCGGACCGAATAGCCTGGAGACCCTTGTCCAACCAGTAATTGTGAGAGTGAGCTGTTAGAAGAAGAAGATTAAAAGGGGAAAAACTGAAAAAATTTCATTTAATACAAAAATACTATTTAATACCAAAATTTATTTAAATTTTATGAAAATTGCACCTCTTGCGAAAATCCTTAAAAGTAAAAATTCATTGTAGGCCAAATTACTTTGTTTCTTGAATATTTGCCTGAAGAATAAGAATATTGCATTTTTATCATTTTTCTAGGTCGATTATCATTTTTTAAAAGAAATAATTTTTATCATCTATATTCGTCAAATTTGATCAATTTAAGGCGCATGGACTCCAACTTCACGTTTAGAATCCAAATCTGTGCAAAATGATCAAAGGCCTATTAGAAGTAAGAGTGTTGGTCGATATGCCGAATCATCTGAATGCGTTGAAGAAACGATTAATCAATGGAAAGATGAACATAGCAAATTATCATCAATGCAGAAACTACGAACAATAAGTCCAACTTATGGTTCGTATCGCAATATGATAATTGCTTCACCAAATACTTCTAAAAATTTATTCGCATTAGAAAAATCAAAAACTGATCACTTCCATATACCACCATATCGATTAGAAAACAAATGTTATCGATCAGCTTCATGCCACTTTCCAGTTTTCTCCTCTTCTTCATGTCATCATTCAGCAAGCAGTACTAACTGCATGTTTTGCTATTGTCCACGGCATGAAATTTCGTGGAGTGAAATTGAATTTCTTTATAAAACTTTGGGAAAGCATGAAATTCATAACGAAATATTTAAAGAACAAATTTCGAAAAATATTAAAAATGCAGCGATTCATCGAAAACTCGAAGAAGCAACTAATGAATTGCAAATCTTCATCGATCAGCTCACAAATTTGCAAAAATTATCGTTCATTGGTTTGAAATGAATCCTTTTTTTCTACTAATATAATATGTTTTACATACTAATTAATATAATAGTACTAATAAAAATAATATTACAACAATATTACTTTGACCGAAGAGTCACTTTGATATTTACTTTAACCGAAGAAGGGAATTGAATTTTGCTAACTTTTGCTCATAAAAAATCCTCATGTCAAACATTTTTTTAATATTTTTTCGACCTATTTTAACTTTTTAATGATTAGTTTTATTGGAATCAATTAATATTTCCTCTTTTTTAATCTCTATCAATTTCAGTATTTGTTGGTTGAGCAATAATTATAGGCGTTCAAATCGTAGATTTTTTCAAAAAAAAGAAACACAAGAAAAATCATAAAATCTCAAAGTCAAGAATCATTTTTTCCGGGGTTAATTAAGGTCAAGCGTATAATTTAAAACCAAAAAAACTAAATAATTTGGAATAATTGGTTCATTTATCGTTTTAAATGCTTTAATGAATGTGCCATTGTCGGCTTAGTTTGTCTATTTAATCTAATTGTGGCATTTCAAAGAGTCAGTTTTTTTAAATAAAACGCCAAGATTTTATACCAAAAATCTGCTAATTGTTATTGTAAAATATATTTATTTTTAAAGAAAACTCAAAATTAAATCAATTTAACCAATAAAAAAATATTCCCTAAATCTGCAATTAGCGATATGATAATGTTGCCAACTTTAGAAAAGGATTTAACAGCGATGGACGCTCGTGAAATCAAAAAATCAACTAAACAAGATATCATAAATCGAAAAAAAATAGAAAAGCTTTCTGAAGAATTAAACGAACAGCGGAGTAGAAGACATGGATATGTGTGAGTCTCAAATATTTTTAATGGATTTCTTTCTCGGAGAATCGTCAATTCATAGAGAATGTGTTTTAGAATCTCAGTTGCTTGACATTTTCTGAATACGCTCGGTTAAGCATTTCGTCACACAAACTGTTATATTAACTTTATAAATAATTTTACCTTAGTTGTATTAATATACGATATTGCTATATGCCGTATTTAATGATTTCCTTCAAAGAACCAATTTTTCAACTGGCGACCTATTTGAAACATAAAAATATAGAATGATTTCTTTCAAAAGATTTGAAAGGTTTAAATAACCGCATGAAATTCGAGTGAACAAATAAGGTTTGGCTGATCATTTGGCTAATCGGAAGTCCGACGCTAGAGAATTTTGCATAGTTACTAATTGCAATTGACTGTCGCATTAAATAGATTGGTTAATAGAATGAAATACAGTAATATCTCAAGATATTCAGGCTCTAAAGAATTAATTCAGGCCATCAGCTACTCCATCATTACAAAAAAGTTTCGATCGGCTCGGCTGTCTAATGAGCGATTTCGGTTCTGATTCTTATTCGAATCGTTCCTTACCTTTCATTTTTGCGACCGCTTTATATTCGTTTCAGGCACTTGGCGCAAAGTAAAAAAAATTCCACTTTATTCTTACTAACTTATTTTATTGTTTAAAATTTGTTGAATCTGCCATAAATCATTTTACATTACTAATGTGAAATTAGCTCGAAATTTTAGTCTCATTTATTATGCAGACATGAATTAAAAAAGGAAAAATTCTCCAGAGAACTTTCATTTAATCGTGGCGATGTTCTACGAGTACGTCGAATTATTGATTCGAATTGGATGGAAGGTGAAAAAAGTGGAAAAATAGGCATATTCCCTTCTTCATATGTTCAGGTTTTTCAAATGCTTATTATTTACTCATAGATTAAATAGAAAATAAATATTTGCCTGTTATTATAAAATATTGCTTCAGTGAAAGCAAATTTAGGTTGATAGCTTAAATGAAAAAGTTTGGCTGATTGCTCAATTCCCGTTTTACGCAAGGAATTCAAATGAATTATCTTTGAAAAAGGTTTTATGAATTTGGTATTTCCCACTTGTCGTCCAATAGTATGAAAATGTGCTATGCAAATCCTTCAAGATATGTATAAATTTTAATGAGCTCAAGAATTGATTTTCTTGGTTAAGAGTGCACCTCATAACATGAGATTTGTTTCTAAGAGCGCTCTCCATTACTGGTTAGGCTCGCTCCGCTGGGACCAGACAAATTTTGCCAGGCAGGCCACTTGGTTGATTCGAATTGGATGGAATTGAATTCAAATTGATTCGATAGATGTACTGGTGAGTTGCCAGCGTCATCCGAATTTTTTGAGAGACAGGTTTATTCTGCCGAGAATAGAATCCTAGCGGTGCTCTAAAATATGAATTATTTAACTCTTCACCCTCCACGAATTACATCTAATGAAGCTTATAATTTCATATGCTTTTCGATAAATATTTATCACAAATCTTTTTCATTTCAAGGATGAAATAATTCTATATAAACGAAGAATTGACGAAAATTGGCTTGAAGGAATCAATGAAAGAGGCCAAATCGGTATATTTCCGAAAGCATATGTTCGAGATATCGATAATTCATTAGCGATAGTTCAAAACAAGAATGGGCCAAATGATGAACCAAATCGTCCAAAAACTCCCAAATTTCTATTTTCGCCCTCATCGTTAGTCTTGTATTTATTTATATAATATTTAAATCTGACTAATTTTTTTAAATTCTATGGATTTTCCCCAAATTATGGACTTAAATTTTAAAAAAAATTTTTTTGATTAATTTATTATTTTCTAAATAGTTAATTTCTTAATTTTAATTTTTTGAAAAATTAGTCTTAAATGGTAATTTAATTATTCTAATTTAATTATTTAATTATTCTATAATTAATAGAACTTCAATAAAAAATTCTCTTTTTATGCTTCTTCTTTCAATTTTGCTAATTATATTGGTTTAACAAGTTAAAAATTAATAATTTTATTCATCTCTTAATTTTAATATTAATATTTTTAATTTTATCTTAATTTTATTAATAATTTTACCATACATCTCAAATTTGAATGTAATAATTGTAATAAATAATATATATTATAATAATTATAATAATGAATAGAATAATTAGATAATCAAAATAGAAATCGTTATAATAAATGAATAAATAAATGAATATATATTATGAAATCTTTGATCTGTGGAATGTTTGGTTTAAGACGAGAGATCCTCAAAATTGATATTTTAAATTTTACTTTCAATATATTCGTTTTTAAGATTACTTGAAAAAATCCAAAGACAATAATGCTAAAAGAAGAGTTTTTTCTTTACATCCAACTCATTTCTTTCAGATTTTTCTCATTTTTCTTTAAACTATCTGAGCTTCCGTTTTCCAATATTTTTGCTTGCTTACTTCAATTAATTATCAACCAAAATTTGCAACTGCCACAATTTTAAAATTATTTGTTAATCGATACAATTACAATTAATATAAATTTCATTTTTTATAAAATATCTAATATACTGTATTTCGAAGTTTTTGATTTGTCTTTAAATTCCTTGGCCTCGAAGCCTAAAAATGCTTAGAAAGAAGAATAGTGGAATATTTTAAATATTTTTCCTTTAGGCGATTTCGATTTAATTGACTTTTTTTTCGTTTTGACTGCACTGAATTCGCAATTAAGCAAGATTGAACAAATATTTAACAAATTCGCTTTAAAAAAGAGATTGATTCGGGAACTTGAAAAATTTCGAAAAATTAACAAATTCAATTCTTTTTAAAATTAAGATTTTTCATCTTTTGCACTGCAAATTAAATTCTTTAAATTTTAATATATTCTACGATATGGCTGTAACTTGAATTAATTTAAATTTTTTTCCAATTTTTCCTTTGTATATATTTAAAAAAGAAATAATCTTTCATAATCGACTTTAAAATTTCATTTTTGCTTATTGGCCCATTCCAGGCGACTTTACTCAAATAATATTCCTATTATGATTTCGCCTACTCGTATTTCTTTTTCGCACAATCAGCCCACTAAGCAATCAACAAACCAGCCAACCGTTCTCCATGCAGCAATATTTTATTTAAGTTTTATTCCTATTAGTAATTATTTTTACAGGGTAAAGGAGAAATTTTCTTTTTGCCCCATTTTATTTTATTCATTGCTTAACATTTCTTATAATTGAAATTGTCCAAACTAAATGTCCTTATTTTCATATTATCATTATTATCACAATCGTTTACTTCCGACTTGGAAAGTCCAGCAGAGTTGGTTTTAATAATTGCGTTTTGTCCGCCGAACGCTTCATTGAGATGAATTTATTAATTTTTAATCAAAAAACAAATTGAATTGTTCAAAAACAATTTTTTGCGATTATAATACAATTTTTGAATTATATTCTTCATATCGGGAAAATCTCACAAATAAATTTGGCATGGATTTATAAAAATTTGGTTGTCAATTGACAAATATTATGCGAGGTGTTCGAAAATTTGTTGGAAACAAGTTATGAATCAAATTTTGTATTTATTAACTTACTTTTAATGTTAAGTGAGTCCCTGAAAAAACTGGCAAAATTTCAAGTAGGCAAGATTAATGGCGTTATATTACATATAATTAATAGTTCGTGAGGAAGTGCAACAATATGGAACTTCTTTTCTTGATTATTTCTAAGCAACTTATTGTCTATCTCTATTTAAAAGTATTATAGATTATATATTATAGAAGTGCTTCCAATTTTTTTGTGCATAATGCTTGATAATATTGAAAAACATCTTAAAAAGTTCGAAGCCTTTAAGACTTTGGTTCTAACTTTTCTCGCGCAATGCATTCCTTATCATTTTCAATACATTTCTACTTTAGATGAATCTGGGAACCTGTCTGCACTGACATCTCATATCTCGTGTGATGAGGTTTTAGCATCCATTGGTGAACATTATCGACCTCTATCATAAAAATGCCATTCGAATGAGTTTCTCGAGAGTACATTAAACGCAGTTGACGCAACTGCAATTTTATTTTCCAAAATAATTTAATCAGCCTTAGAAATGAGCTACCACCATGAACTTTCAGTGAAAAAACTTAGGAATACTTGTGACACATTTTTTCACACAACATTTCTCTGATCGTAAAATCGCTAAATAGAGCGATGATTCTTTTTAAAAATCATGAACTAGCCAGCGAAAAACTTCGACCTTACTGCAGTACAAATAAATTCCATTGTGAGACGTATTTGCAAAATTTGATAGCCAGTCGCACAGAGTATTCGAGTATATTGGTTTCATGAACTTAGGTTATGGGTTACGATCCACTAATTTAAGGATTACACCATACTTGTTGCAGCGCATTTTCTCATTTAAATCTCATTTAGTCAAAATTCTTAAGTTTTTTCAAGTTCTTTATTCATGAATTTTCGTTATTTCATGAAACTTAGTTTTTCTTAGCCAACTATCATTGAATTTTAGGGAACAAAATGTGCAAGTATCAAGAAAGAAAAATCACGAAAGCGAAGTGATTGCATGGACGAGACGGCATAAGGACGAAGGTCTTTCTGGTTATGCACAAATTGTTCCAACAAATTCAGAAACGTATGAATTTTTCAATATTCATATCTTTTTAAAATAACAAAAAAAAAGAACTTATATGCGAAAATAAAAATTAGATTATTTTGCGTGAAATACCCGAGAAGTGGAAAGATTGGCTCGGCGAGTTACTGCTCTCATTTCGGTCCGCTGGTTTATGACTTTACTATCTTTCTTGCAAAAATCCAGTTTGTCTTGGCAGGTCAAGAGCACTTTTGCGACTTAGTGATAAAATTTATTTGGTCCGAGCAGTTATACGAACATTATTGGAAATAGTAAGCAATTCAGAAAAAAAGTACTTTTAGAGTTTCTTCCAAGAAAACCTGTTTTGCACTTTTTAATTCGGTAAAATAAATTCTAATCATTTATTCTAAGATAAAATAGTGGGCAATGATGATTGCCAAATTAAACTAACGAATAGTTTAAATTAACAGCTTCAATTTCATCATCTTCAAAATAGTTTTTTCCCTTTTTTTTTCATTAATTATACGATTAATTATACAAAATTCGAAATTGAGAATGAAATGAAAATTCGAAAAATTATAATAATTTTAAAATTTTTTAAGCTAAAATTTTTTCACAAAAATTTCCATAATTTTTATTTTTTTATGAATAATCAACAGAAAAACATTTTTCAACAGAAACAAAAAAAAAGAAAATAGCAAAAAAAAGAGAAAAATAAAAATTTCTATAATAAAAATTATATTAACTTACTTACTTTTAACTTAACTTCGGAAACTTTTGATGTCGTATTTGTTAGTAGATTTAAATAAATCGTAACAGTTTGCTTTGAACAGTTAAACATCCGAAGGTTTTCTTTTATCTGACAAATTCAGTCAATTTGCAATTATAATTTGAAAATAACAAATCTTTCCCATTTAATTTTATAGAAATTCAACGATGCTCTGAGATATAAAAAATTGCAGATATCGAGTTCTATACGATTATCAACCAATGAATGCCGACGAACTCGAACTTCGAGAAAATGACATTGTTTTTGTCGTTGAAAAATGCGACGATGGTTGGTACATCGGTGAGTAATTGCTTTTTAAGTAATTTTTGCATTCTTTTCATAGGATTGAATAAACTGAAACACGAAATTTCTCTCCCCTAATTCCGCCATTCACTAATCCACCATCTATGAACATTGTCGAAATTCGGTAATTTGGCAATTAATAATAAGTTTTTTGATAGCTTTCCTAGCACATTTTTGATGCGCTTATTCAATCCGACTGATGACACTTCTTTTGTAAATATAAAAACTTTTAAATATTTTAAGCAATATAAAATAATTTAAGCAAATTATCGATGAATTTATATATAGAAATTGCAATTAAGTTCATATATTCACGAGCTTCACAAATAAACAGAAATGCGAAAAATGCGAGATGGTTAAAATTTATACTATTAAATGTGTTCGCACTTAATAATCAAGATTTGACGCAATCAAACTACAAGTCTATTTCACCTTAATAAAATCTCGTTTCTTAAATTAACTGAGAATGAGAACATCAAGATAATGTACAATTACAGGCACATTGCTGAGGACTGGCCAATTTGGAACATTTCCTGGCAATTATGTGCAACGACATTGAAAAACATGAAAAACGGTTATTTAATTCTCCTTCGTCACGTTAGATTCTATCTCGATCAACAACTGCTTTCAAATGTTTTTTGTTTTGGCTAGAAACTGGTTAATGCCACATTGGCTGATTATTCATTATCATTATTCTTCACTCAATTTGTCGAATTTCATTATGATATGTACTTATTTTTGTTAAATATATACACGCATAGCATAATAATAAGAGCAATATTTCATTTGTTTTTTATATAATTTTTTACTTTTCTGTGCAATAAATATGAAGTTTAACACAATATAAATTGGTAAAAAAAGATTCTCTAAAACTAAAGAATAAAAGAACTTTTCAAATGTTGGTTTATAACTTAAATTCAATGAACCGCATATTCCAAAATTATACCATCATTTCGACCTATTTCTATAGCTACCAAGTTTATTGTCCGAAAACTACTGACATTTCCAACAAAGATTACTTATTACGTATTAGTACTATAAATTTGGAATAAATGAAATAAATGAAAAAAAATTTATAAATAAATGAAAAAAAAATTTCGAAAAAATTTCATCCATCAAGAAATTTTATATCACCTCTTCTCTGGATTTCTGGGATCTGGGAATTCTAATTTGAAGCAAGCACATCTAAAAGCTATGTTCCAACATATTAGACAACAAAAAATAACAATCTAAAACAAATTTAAAAAATTATGAAAATATTATGAAAACAACACTCGTTAAGAAGAATGGTATAAATTTTCCTTTTTGTATCATTGCGTGCGAATCCTTACCATTCAGTTCAATTTATCACGATGCAAGCCAATATTCAATATATTAAATAATCAGCTAAAAAAAATTATATTTAAATTGATGGAATTACAGATGAATAAATGATATCTAATAAGTGATATATTTTCTTTTAAAAATGAGAGAAGCAGCCTGGGATTAATTCTCTGTAAGACAGTTGCAATAACCATTTCTTTTAATTGATAATTAATAGTTCTTATCAACAAACCATATTGAATTAACGAAATCTTCAAGCACATTCGAACTCGTTTGCAGCAACAATTTCCGCTATTTTAACTGAACTAAAAATCCGACAAAAACGTTCTAAAGCATATTCGACAGGTATAATATAATTTACAAGTTCATCAGCATCTGTAACTCAGATGTTTGAAATATAAATCGAAGTAAAATTAAGCTTAAATTTGCGAATACTTTGCATTTCTTAAGTAGCTATTTTGAATTGAATTTTGAATTCTATTTTGAATTTACTACCATTTTAAAATTTGTTTTGACTATAATAAAAAATTCAAATTTTTCTAAAAAATAATTTTAGAATAATCGCTTTGAGAAATTATAAAACAATTGTAAAAAACAATAAAAAATAAGAAAAATTATCTTAAAAAATAAATGCAAAATACCTTCATCAAGGAAAGGTGAATTAAGATTAGCTGGTATCGATCTGATTTGCTTTAATACAATGCATCCAAACCTTTCAAGTAGTTTGATTAAATCCATGAAAAATCGAGGTTGTAAAGCAAAGGAATACTTCAATTTGAGATCATTCATTGCGATACCTGGGCGATTAACAATTGAACAAAGAATTCCTTCAGCCATCCATCTTAAACATAAGAGGATTTAAATTGCCAGGAAAATTGCAATTTCATGTTGTGGACTTTCAAGTTAGCGAAAATTCTCCTCCCCCTCCCGGATCTGTGAGAAATTCAATGTGTACCATACATTTACAACTTCTTTAACTTTTTCTTAAATTTTTAATCATTTATTGAGAATTTGCAAGTCTTTTGCTTGCCAGCGTTAGCTATAATATTTCGATTGCATATTTATATATAATCAATAATATCATACAATGTACAGGCTATAAAGTGACCAGATATTACATGAGAAATAATTGATAGATTAAGATCGAATAATTGATAGCTTTGATAGATAGAGAAGCTAACCTAACCGTGGAAACGTCTACGTCTCCAGAAGAAGTAGACCATGGTGCAGGAAAAAATGCGAAATCACCGCTGTAAACAATCCAGCTTTCACTAAATATATCTAACACAAATCTTATACAATCGATACCCACTCGTATGATTTGGGTCGCATTTTCCAATTCGTCCAGCGCCCAGTATACTTTCGATTTATCACTTTCATTTGTGTTCTAGAATTTATGTAATTTATTGATGTTTAAAAAAAATTAGTTATTACGTAAGAATAATTTTATTTCAGTATTTAACCTCAGTCAAAATTATTCAGACTCTGTTCTCATCGAAAAATATTTGAGGTTTTATAGAATTAATATCCAAATAAATAATAGATAAAAATGAGAAATAAGACTGAGAAACAAAAGCGCAGTACCACAACTATTTCATCAATAGCGGATCCAACCATATGACTTTCTTCAATTTGTTTGTATATGTTCCGCAATATACGTCGTTGCTCCACTGAGTAATCCAGAAGAAAATCATGGAAGCATTTCTTTTTAAACAATTTAATAGGAATAAGCCTTTTCAATTCTACGATCACATTTCGAAGCATTGGCATATCATCATTCTCCACACTTACGAATGGTTTGACGGTTATTTTTTCAAGTTTCAGATCTGCTGACTCCAAATATCTCAACTGCTTTGTTCCGCTACGCAGCTGCTGAAATGATCTAATGAATAAACTTATTCTAAAGCGCCAAATTGATATTAATCTGCTGCAAAAAAATATCTGATGATAATGATAATCTATGCATCTATGTTTGCATTTTTTTTATATATGTTTCTAGATATAAAATGTAAATATATTATAAAAAAAAACGATGATATCGAGAGAATTATTAAGAAATAAAAAGATCAGTTTATGCAGGTGACAAAATAAAATCTCGATTTCTGCGAAATGTGTGCCCATTTTAATGTTATTTATTTTTGCTATTTTTTAATTTTTCTTATTTTTGCTATCTAAGAGCGCTCATTATTTCTGGTCACGCTTGTCGGATCAGACAATTTGCCAATTAGTGATAGAAGTAAGGTCCCAATATCATTATATCGGATCTTCTGAAAGATCTAATAGGTTTACTCCTGCCGGCAGTGAAACCTCAGAACAGCGCTAGAAGTGACAGCAACAAGCTATTATGCCATTCTACTCTTTTTTTCAGTATTATATGACGTTAATTTTAAAAATTTGGTTAACTACTTGACCAATTTTTTAAATAAATGTGATAACAAAAATAAATTAATTAATAATGAGTGATACAAAATAAGATACTTTATCTGAATAGAGAAAACCCACTTCAACAGATGTACTTTCGAAAACGTCCAAAACATCTTTCCCCACGAAAAATTCAAATGACCCCTGAAAATTACTTGTTTAAGCTGGTTTTCGCAAATAGCATGAAGGAATTACTGACATTTTTATAAAAACAGCTAGCATAAGCAGCAGCGGCTCCTGCTGAATCTTCTTCAATTTTTTCTCCACTGTCAATATTATGATAAACTTGATCCATCTGTTCCACTATTTCTTGATGAAAACGGTGATTAAAAAAATGACGGAAACTGTAAAAATTGAAACAAATAAATTTATTTTTAATACATTCTATATATAAAATTAAGTTAACATTAGGATTTCCTGAAGGCAACAATAAAAAAATAAAAAACATACTAATGCGATACAGATGTCTGACAAGTCCAAGCAACAGTTACATCTTCATCATTACATAAACGAGTACGTGATATGAGACCGTCCATCCGCATTCTCTCTAGTAAACAGGAAAGAACATCCGTAGCAATCTGCTCGACAGTGGCTTCAGTCTTTAGATTATTTAAATTCTTTTGTTGCAATAAAGTTGACTGAAAAGCTAATGTAATAATAAAAAAAATATAATAAGGAATAAAGAATATGTTATAATAAAATATACCGAAAAAACAGGTAAAAAATAAAGAACAAAAAGAAAAAACTACCACAACTATATTGTAAGCAACACAGTGCTGAAGATGACTGAGGTCATTTGGTTTCACAGATCTAGCTGGATATATCGAATTTTGCTCAATTTCTGTTGTGATTTTAATGTTATTTTTCGACATATGAATATTGAAATCATCATCAGTATCCTTAGCACTACAAACATTATGTGAATCTCTAAAATAAAAATGAATTACGACCTGGAAGTGATTTAAGGAGACCTTACAGGGGTCTTCAAATCCACCTTATTTTAATTATGAATTGTAATATAAGATTTTGTAAATTTAAAAAACAACGACAATTAAACATTAATAATGTTTGCAATAAGCGATAAGAAAGCTACAACTCCAGAAACTTTATTGTAGTTTTCATTTCCTCCAAAGAATCCGTTTTATAAGATCATTTAATATATAAAAGTATTTATGTTTCGCTTTGGCCGTATGGTCGCTTCTAAGCTTCCTTCAAAGGAAAGTTCTACAATATATCAGTCATCACCCCAACTTTATGCGAGGATAGGTTTCTTGAAGTCCTATAAGATAACTTCAGCTAACAATATATCTGTCGAACCGATGATAATCGATAGAGAATGGAATGCATCAATACACGTACTCGGTAAATGGCAAATATGGCATCGAGGTCCGGTGCCTTTTTCATCTTGCAAAACATTAACTTTTTATGACTAATACATGCTTCCGGTATCGTAAAAAACATCTAGTCACATGTAGCTCCTCGGTTAGCCAACATCGCAACCAGATTGATTAGTCAATCACCACTGGAAGAGTTCAATAGCTAAAGAGTTTAGCCATTCCTATCAGGGCGCTGAATGGTTCGAGCCGAGATTTAAATAAAACTGAGAATTTACAAATACAACCTCGCCCAAGACCCTTCTACTAAACGTTCAGGACAGTGAGAAAGTTTTAAATCGAGTTATTGAAGTACCTTAATAAATCAGCGACATCACTGGGACAACCCAATACTCGTCGCAACTAAAGGCATGCCTCTGAAAAAAGCCACTTCCATACTAGAATATATATTAGTAGGAACTGCGCTAATTGGGTACGGGATGAAACAATCTAATTGTCCTAAAAAGCAGAAAGCAGAAATGTGAGGAGATTCTCACTACCAAATGTTTCGAAGAATTACAAACATCAATATGGCGGACAGAAATCGCGCCTGATTCTTCAAATATTGCCCGCCATCTTTCATAACACCGTTAACAAACTCTCTATACTCTGGTTTGGAATAAAAAAATAATACCAAATGACTGGAATAAAGCATCCACCAATTCCCAATAAAGATGATAGCAAATCAAATAATTGTCAAGAAATCAGCCTGACATTTGGAAAAATTTTAGCTTCCTTCCCACTGAATAAACCAGTGGAAGTGGGATACATCATAACCAAGCTGGAACCAGATTGGAAGTGGTTGTGTTGTACAAATATCCTTGCTAAGAAGGGCGCTGAAACATCGCTTCAAATATCAGCAACCCCGCCCCGTCACATGTTTCAATTCTAGTTGCCTTTCATTCAATTTAAAGAACATGGAATATTCCAGAGAATATTATTAAGGCATTTTATCAACTACATCGCCACAGATCTCTGTAAATGGGGAATCGACAGAATCTTTCGAAATAAGAACTGGTGTCCATTAAGGCTACCCCCTACAATATTCAACTATGCGATAGAGTAAATTATGGACATTGCATGTTGGCACTCAAAAGATATATAAATGGGTCCAGAACACTGATCGCATACACTGATGATATGGTCCTTTTTGTTACGATGAAATGTAAATATTACTAAACAACATGTCGACATCGCAGTGAAAAATCAAATTCAGAGTTTATATAAATAAAATGAAAGTCTTTTCGTGTTACAAAATAGAAGCTGATAACATGTACTTTTAATCAACTCACCTTTAAGTATTTTGGATCTACTCTTGGATCTATCAAACGGCCATGCGAAAAACAAAATTACAACCGGGATAATGGCAGCAAAAATTGCGTTATTCCAGTTGAAGAAATCTTTATGGACCTGCCATAAAACGATAGACAGATCTATATAGAAGTAATTCGCTCGATCTTGCTATATGGTTGTGAGATATGGCTAATAAGATTGGAGTATTAAAAAATAATCCTTCTTTGACCACTCATGCATAAGATTTTACGGATTCGGCGAGCCAATAAAATCTCACATAACTGCATCTTGCATCCATCCACCTTCGCACAAACTCACACCACCTGTATTAACAAAGGACATCGCTAGTTAGGACAGTTTTTCGTGCCCAGAATTTGTACGTATGGGGAAACCAGAATATATGGACTTCGATGATGAAAAAAGGGATAACGTCTGTTATTATTATCGATGGGAAATCGAAAAAGGCCTCGTTATATTCTTACAGCCAGTGGAGCAAGCGAAACAATGGTAACAATAGCAGAATATCCCACGTCATAAAATCTGTTTTTGTTTTTTTTATCTCCTGAATGATAATTTCCAGTAGTTCATTAATTTGTTGCTTGCTTTATTGTTGAATTCTATCCGAACAATAATGAATTAAATGTTCATGCAAAAAATTATAAAGAGAAGAATTTTTTAAAACATTCAAAGTATTCAAAGAATTTTTACTCACCTGTGTAAATGTCGCATAGCGGTATTAAATGCAACTATAAAAAATTCTCGCTTTTTTTCATTTGTATTCGGAGGATTAAGAGCAAGTTGGAAGCGAATTTGCCTCATTTCCTACAAACACTGTGTAATATAATTAATGAAATGAAATATCACATCTTAAAACCTTTATCCTTTGCTATTACGAAGCTTAAAAATTTGATCGAATTAAAAATAAAACAAACTGGAGAAGATGTGAGGCTTTTCACTAATCTTTTTAGATATGTCATCTTGCCTTGCTTAACAATATCTCGAACACTAGCCGAAATTAAACTTTGAACTGTCTTATTCTGAGATTCCTGCAAAGCAACAAAAAAACACATGAACAGTCTAATCAATAATTTTCAGCAATTTTAATCCAAACATACCGGTACATATTGATGCATTATATCTCTTATAACTCTAGGATCCAACCAAAATCGGTAAACAGGATTCAAGAAAAATCCGACAGCTCTAATGATCAAAAGCTGCAAAATATTTTTTTTACGATATATGAATTATATTATTTCAGTGGAGCAGTAATTATTGCCACAATTAAGAAAAAAGAAAAAAACGAAGTAAGAGAACAATAGTCATTTTTTAAACTCTTACCATATGACGTTCTCTAGCAGAAAAACGGGTGCGCATATGAGTCTTTCGTTCTTCTGCGATCAAATCAATATGATCAGGTTTACGTTTACGCTTAAATGATCTTCTTAAAGCAGGATTATCGGCTGATAAAGCACTTAAAGACCGTCGCATCTTTTTGGACAAAGTCCTCATTTTAATTGAATGTGGTCGTGATTCCACGTATTTATCACTGAGAATAATTTATATTAATAATGATATTAATAATTATAGTAATCATTAATATAGAAATATAGCAATATAAGAAAATTTTTAAAATTTAGTCCAACAGTTGGCGAACAAGCAATATGGCGATGGAAGCGAATTAGAATAAGAAAAAAGAAAACTCGAAAAGCATTGGCAAAGATTCGCCAATAAGAGAATAAACTGCTATTTATCTGGCAAGAATGATTTCGCATAAATTTACTAAATAAAAAAACTACAGTTAATATAATAATGCATTAAAATTTTACCAGCGCTTACGTCTTTTTTTTCATAAATATTAATCTACAAACTTTATCTGCATTTCGCGTTGAGAATCCCATGCTTTTTGAAAACGCTGAACTTTTGACTGGATGATTTTTTTATTTTTCTCGAAAGAACGACGCCAACCTTGTAAAAACCAACTCACAAAATTTATAGGTTGTGGATTCAAATCCCAGTGTCGCTTCATATGACTAAAAATCATGGATAATCGGTAACTGAATAAAATTATTCATGAATCTAAAAAATCTAAAAATTACCCATTCTAAAAAATAATCCATCAAAATAAACTCCAAAACAGTCATTAATTACAGTTATCTTCGGTTGCTTACACGCTAAAAGAATAAAATATTATATAAGGGCCAATTTGCCTAAAAAACAGCTAATATACCGAAAAACAGCTAATATACTGAAAGGAAAACGAAAAAAGAGAAAAAAGAAACAAAAAAAGAAAATAGTATTTATAATATGCTAAATAATATGCTGAAGTGGAAGAAATTCTCATAATGAAATTTGAAAATAATGCTATCTAAAAACGAACACAAAAAACTGAGAGTTAAATCCAGCACAACCATCATTAGGTGGAACAGGCAGCGCGAGATCTATTTTCTCATTAATTGCTTGAATTATTTTTGATTTGTCATAAGTTCCAAGCCCACGATTTTTATTCAACGCCACATCTTCGTTCTGCTAAAAAAAATTTTTTTAGTCGGAAAATTATCTATGAAATGGATAAAAGTACTGGTATTAAACTAAAAATTAGTATTTTTCATTAATGCCAGAACAAAATCTGATAACAATAAAATAAAATAACCGATTGATCATCGATTCTGAATGCAAGTGGAGTGCTTTGAACAATCATTCGCAAATGATGCCAATAAAGTTGAACATCCTAGAAAATTTTTCACTTAATTTAAAAGACATCGCAGAAAATTTTACAAAATTATAAACCAAGATATAATTCTAAACCAAATTTTAAAATCAATGAGCTTAATAAAAAATTATACAATACCTCAAGTGATTTAAAATCGTAAATATATTGTTTATATTGGTCAATAGGTAATGAGACACAAGCATAACCACGAGCTGAAGTGCTCGTATCCCAGAGAACTCCACTGCGTAAAACAAGGAAAAATTGCTGGAAAATATCGAATATTGATAAAAAATCAAAAAAATCTGCTTAATTAATAGAAAGACCAGGAGATTAAGAGAAAATGAAAAAAATAAATTAAAAATGAAACCGAAATCATCATTTGAAATTTCTTTGGATTAGGATTTTCTCCAAGACGAACAAGACCAAAACCACATAAATTCAGCAAATGATTTTCAATCTAAAAAATGACATATTTTATGATAAGTAATAAAAGACAATTTTCATGAGATTTAAGCCAGTAGTTCTTTCTTAATCTTCCACATGTTATAAATCATAATATTCTTAACATCATTAAAATATGACATTAAAAAGTCAAATCTCGCAGAAAAAACATTTTATAATTTTTCATTAAGAGATTAAATTAATATTTCTCATTAAAAGATTAAGCGCGATTCGAAATATTCACATAAATGATGATAATATATATTTTAACAAATTTTTATGAAATTTTTATAGCCCAGATAAATAAAAAGTTAACAGTATTTTTCGTTTCTGACTGAATGGAACTTAATCAATAAATTTGCTCCAGTATATTTCCAATAATGAAGACATGTAACTCATTTTTTACAGCATATACTCTTCAATTACTCATCAGTTAGGAGGTATTTAGCAGGTTTTTTCAATAATATCCAAGCAAATTTATGAAAAGCTGTAAAAATAAATGGGTTTAACAAAAGATATAATCACTGACGATCTCCACAAGAATAATCCTTTTAATATCCTTCGAAGAGGAGTTCATTTTTAAAACAGAATTATTTTAATTTTTTTGAAAAAATAATTTCTTCAAGTACAAGAAGGTTAATTAAATAAATCATTTTTCATTTTTCAAAATTTTTCTCTAAATAAAAAGTTTTCCAACAGAAACCAAATCTTTTTTTGGAGCCTATCCGTGTCACAGCTTTGCAGTTAAATCTCCGTAGAAAATCATCAATTGCCAGCAAAACTATAAATCTCTCTCCGCAGAAAATCATCAATTGCCAGCAAAACTAATAGTGTTGAAAATTTCAAATTCAAATGAATTTCCTGGTACAAAGAACCCGTAAGCACAAAGAGGTTATAATTTTATGGTGGCACAATTTTCGGACAATTTAATATTCCAAGAGTTCCACGCAACCCTCTATTCCAGATTATAAACTACTAATCCAAGGTATGAGGATCTATATAGAAGATGACCATTTTATTTACTGTTGCATAAGTTGAATATGAAAATAAAAATAGAAAAGTTTTCATTATATGACATCAAACATCAAACAGATTGAAAAAACTGACTTGTTTCAGAGCACGTTTATTAGTTAAGATTCTGTGACGCAAATCTACTGGAAGATCACTAATCAACATATGACGCTTAACTGGATCTTCCAAATACTTTTCTATACCATCAAACTGAAATTTAGAAAAAAGTAAATGTTTATTCGAAAAGTAATGATATTTAAATAATTATACAGTTCTTTTACCAGGAATATGCATAATACCTTCGTTTTTGGAGCGGCAATAAGGAAGAACAAAGAAATGGGAAATATTTTCATCAAATCTTCAAACATGAACCATCCGCGAGGTAGACCTTTGAAAGGAGGCAGATAAGGTACAAAACGATAGGGCGATTCATCATCTACATAAACAGGACAATCTTCGATTATGGTACAATCTCTATTTTCTCCAGATTCAATCGGATGAAATCTTAAAATAATTTTATTTTCAATTCGATTTCTTTGAAGATTTTGACAAATTAACGATAAATTAACGCACAAAAAGGCATGAAAAAAATATAAATGTTTATATTGCTTTCGACAAATGCAAGCATTACTAATTCGATTCCCACTTCATGATAGAAAAACAGGTAACTGTTTTAAGAAAATAAATGTAAGGAGCTCCGCATCTATACGTATATTTTCCTCATTTACCCTCTGTTTGGATCGTTCTAGCATCAAATAGAATCAACCGAAGCAGAAATAAAGCGTGATTTTGATAAGAATATCAACCTTTCATATATAGTTGGACGAGTTCCATCAGGAAGGCCATAGACAAAGTGCCATATAAATTGATGCAGGATATAACAACGAATCATTTTATTTTGTTGTCCATAATTGACGGTAGGATCATATTTTAATTTCTTTTGAGCAGGAACATAATCCATTGAGGAAGTTCCATCTCTCTCATTACTGGTCATAATTGTATCTTCTTCAAATTGATCCATCACCTCTAGATTTTCTTGACTTTCAGCATCCTTTTCTTGCATGTCGTTTACTTGAGAATGCTTAACGTTAACCCGCTATAAATTTCAAAAACTGAAGAAAATGAAGAAAGAAATGTTGATTATTACAATTGACAAGAACAATATTTATAAATAGTAAGAGTTAACAAAGAATAAAGTAGTAATGAATGCAAAAGTTAAAGAAGAAATTGTGAATTCTATTTATGTAACAAATGATATCCTCAAAGAAAATACTTTAATTCGGCGTAACAAATTAAGTCGAAACAAAGTAAGCCTTCTTTCGATACTAATTTCATCAGTGGACTCATCAACTTCTTCCTGTAATTAAAAAGAAATTTTAAAATGAAAAAATAGTAAACCCAATTATTCAGAAGTAATAAAAAATTTAAGCCTTTTTTATCTTAGAATTTGGAACTAAGTGGTGTGTAGATTTATCTAAAAAGCCAATAAGGTTCAAAATCTCCAATCAAGAATCATCAGTCCAAATGTGTCTACTTAGTATGATTTAATTTTTTTTGAACACAGATTTTTTGCATCACTATATGTCCCAATTCAGGCTTCGCAAAATCCAGATTATGATTCATGAGCACAAAAGTGATATATGAAAAAAATTAATCAATAAATGCAATTACGACAAAAATAGACAATAACTAACTAATTTCATATCACTTGAAAAACCGTTTTTCTCTATTTTACAATTTTCTGATAGTTCCTTGATTTTATCTTTACCGCATCTGAAATGATAACTAACCAAAGCCTTAATGGTATTAAATAAAATCATTCCTAAATGTATTTTCTAACTCATTTGTTTTTAACAAAGGTGAAAATAACCTAAGAAAGAATATTCCAAATTCTATTCTATACACATGCAAAAATAAATAAATCAATAAATTTAAACATACTTAAACTGTCCAGTAGGAAATATTCTTCCACTAAAGTTATATTCATCAATTGTTTCTACGATTGCTTTTTCGATTGCTGGATGATCTACTGAATCGAATTCCCATCTACATATTATCTCTATCTAAAATTCAATAAGAGAAAGAAATTAAATTTTTAAAATTAATGAAATTTCAAATGTAGCATTTTAAATGGAAGGAAAAGAATACAATCTGGCTGTACCATGATTACATTCTTTAAATGGGCAACGATAATTTAAAAAAGATTGTTCTTTAATAATTTGTTATAATTTGTAATTTCTTTAATAATTTAATAATAAATTATTAAATCAAAAGACCACCTTAAAATTTGGAAAACATTTAAATTGGCTTAGAAAGCTTAAAAGCGATACATCGAACTAACAGAATATTGGTAACAAATGATCAAAGCATGAAAAAAATAAGAATTGTTGTGAAAAATATAATTTAATTTAATTAAAAATACAATTAAACTAAAAAAGAAATGAAAATAAACTTTGTGCTGAGTCTCATCATGTCGAACTGTTGTTTCAAAAACGTGAAGCAATTTCACTTTTTCTAAAGCTTTCAAACATTTCCTAATAGACCTTTTATCGATCTAAAAATAAGAAAAGCTAAATAATTCTCATATATGTGAAAGAAAGAGAATTAGAAAAAATATATACATTACCAAATGACCATATTCATATCCTTTTTCGATTTCAATAATTTTTTTGTGCAAACGAGCCATTGTCACAATAACAGATTTCTCCTTAATCAATCGTACTATATCCATAAGACGACGCAAGGATACATCGCTTATTCGTAATGTGCCTGAGAGATTTTAATTAAACACCTTTTTTGAACAATCGTGAAACTTTCTTCAAAATTAAATATAAATTTATGCCTGAATGCATCCACAAGGCAGAAAAATTCCAAAAGCATTTTCAGTAGAGCTAACCAAATCAGATTATATTATAGGAGAAAAAAATTTAAATGAAATAAACATTTTTCATTTGAAAAAATATCGCATCGAAAATTTCTGACACAACATGGAAAACATTAGTTAAATTTTTAGATTAGAAAAGCTCAAATCAAATAAAAATTTAAAATTATTAAAAATCGAAAAAACAAATAATTAAGTATTTCTTTCATGAAAAAAAGGTAAAAAATCGTAAATTGAAAAAAACTAACTTAAATTTGCATTTGGGAATTTAATTACTTGCCCCATAGTAAATGGGCAATCACTTCCATTAATGTTCTTCCATTCAGCAAATAATGTATTGAAACTTTTAGGACCAGAAGAGAATTTATAATAGTACCTAAGTTCAATCATTTTTAAATCTTTCACTTTCTACTAATGGCTATATCAAAACAAAAATTGATATTAAACAATAAAACATCTAAAAAATGCAAATCAGTAAGCTATTCAAAGAAATCATTTTGAATATGCATACCTAAGAGTTCGACATCGCCCTTCCATTTTTTGATATTGCCCGAAGTAGGCGGGAAATAATTTTAATGCGTTGATTATATGACGAGATACCTTACGATTACCAGTTTTTGAACGAGTATTCATGCCATAGAATCGGCCAATTTCTGTTCGACCACTACCTTCTGAGCCAGAAAGTCGAATTGCAGCAACTGTGAGATCACTCATCGTACGATATAAAAATTGTGGAGACCAATGATTTGCTTGATATTCTACACATAATTTACCTAAAAGAACTTTGAAAATAGGCTATTCCAAATTGTATTACAAAAAGTCAAGACTGGCCATGGCCATAATTGCAAAATATAAATGAAAGAAAAAATAATTCAAATTTAATCTTCACGATGAACTGAAGTTTTTGACGAAGATGCCTTCTCATCATCGATTTCTGCACATTCCTTCTGAAATATATTGTTGACAATATAATCACTTGTTCAATGAAACCAAACATATGTGAAAAATAAATTAGCAAATGAAATTAACAAGCATTCAAAATGAATCAAATATGCGAATTTTTAAAGAAAGCACAATTATGAATGGAAGACCAAAAAATGACAAGTAAAATAGTAAATATTTACATAAATGTAAACATTTATAAAGTAAACTTATAAAGTTTATATAAAATAGTAAAATATAGAGTTAACCATTTTTCCAATTTTTGTGGTCAAGATTCAAAACAAATTTAATGCAACTTTTTAAAATTTAGAATTATAATTTAGCATTTCATTTAAGTGGATAGTCTCCTGGCCGCTAGAGAATCAAATGGAGGTAATGAGGAACCCTCAGCAGTATTATATTGTATCGAATATTTTACACTTTAATATCGAATATTTTATACTTTTATACTTTATATTATCGAATACTTTAATGAATACTATCCCTATCACGTACAAGAATCTCCGAACAAAGTTGCTTATAAGCACGTACCTTCCGCTCAAATGATTATTCCTAATGATTAAAAAAATCTTCCATTTCTGGTAGTCATAAAATGAAAGATTACATGAGGTCCACCAACACTATTTGGATTTTTTAAATACATTTACTTATCAAATGATCCAAAATTTTCTCCCAAGGCAATAATTTAAAACATTAGGCTCTCCCGTCTCTCTTTCAAACATTATTCAATGAAATACATAACTGGGCTGTGATATTCCTCAAGAAATACTTATCTACCATTCATTCATTTGACATATTGCAAATTACATTTACTCTATCGACTTCCAGCAACGTTCGGCAGTGTTAAGTAAGTAAAAACTGCTCGAAGTGAAAACGTGTCGTCGAGATGCGTTTCGCTGGAATCCCACCAGCTCATCAGTCGATTTCGACACTTCGCGTTAGCGAAATGAGCTTTCTAAAGATGCTCGTTGTAGCCGCGATAAAGACTGGCCTGCCGCGTTTACGGGAAAATTCAAACGACCATATTAGGGAGTTCACACGGAAGTCGGCGGCCGCACAGATTCGCGCGGAAGCGTTAACTCTGCAACTGAGTTCGCTCAACATTCACCGAGGTTGCCGTTTCCTCTTCGATTATTTGGGCAAAGGCGCTTCCGAGGATTCATTTCTTATAAAAATAGGCGCGAAAAACCACCTTTATAGATTTTCTCGAAAGCGAGCAATCTTCTTCAACGTAATCGCTGCAAATATCAACTTCGTCGCTGTCAGAGCAATCGGAAACAACGAAATCGGACGACGACGACGATCGCCTCGCATGCGGCGAATTTCCCTTCCCCTTATGCGACGCTTTCCTCTTCCGCGAACTTCCTCGCTTTTTCTCGTCGCTATTCTTTTCCATCTGAAAATATTTTTCATTTTTTGTGTTTTTAAAAATTTTGAAAAAATCGAATTTTATAAAAATTAAATTAAACTATTCAAAAATCGGGAAATATTTTTTTAAAAGTGAATTCCACGAAAAACCAATTGAAATCAATAAAAAAACTTTAAAAAAATTATTAATCCATAAATTAAACGACCCGAGAAACGAGCACCGTTGGCGCAATCGAAAACGGTTATCGTTTCAAATTGCCGGAGACGCTTCGTTGGGATCGACGCGATTTGACGAGAATGCTCTCAGCTTTTCCATTCGATAGTCGATTTCGAAATTTTGCAGCTAAATAATATTTCAAATTTATTCAAGAAAAAGGAAACACTGATTTGGTAGTCTTTAGCGAACGAACTCCATATGATTAATTCTTCTTGTTTAAAAATTTGTAATTAGAAAATTTATAAAAAAGTAAGAAAAAAAGGGGAACACCTCGAATATCGAATAAAAAATTTATTTATTTATTCGCTTTTAATATAAAAATTTTTTTCGTTAATTTAAATAAAATATTTGCCTTAAATAAAAAATAGAAAAGAACTTTTTTGTTTTAATGCAAATTTATATATGAAAATTAATAAAAAAAGGGAGAAATTAAATTTTAAATATTGCAATTTTTTAAAATTCCATATTTTTTATATCATCAAAATATTTAAATATTTCTTCGGAAAAACAAATGAAGAGAGAATAAATGAAATCGAAAATTCAATCCAAAAATGGTTGACATGAAATGAAATAGCCTGTAAAAAAAACGACGCGAGGTTGAGGATGACCTTGCCACCCACAGGACATGGAAAAGAGTTTTTATTGTCGGAATAAGACAATTCCCGCTGAGAATTGACAACTGAAATAAAAAACACAATAATGCACTAATGAATTGAGTGTCCAGCCTGGACCTAAGGTTCTCTACCGAAGTTGACGGTTTTGCTCAGTATCTTAGATGCCCCTAATAGCGTTCTTTTCTGGATAGAGATCTCTGATGTTGTTCCTGGAAGTCATTTTTCTAATTTAGGAGTCGTAGTTTCAAGTGCTGCAATTGTCAGTAGAACTGCCCTGGTTTTTGCTTTCCACATCTTCACTAGTTCCTCTTTCAGCCTTTGGTATTTCTTTAACTTCTCATATTCTCTCTTTCCGACTTTCCTGTCGCTTGGTATTGCTATATTAATCACCAGTGTGATTTCTGATTCTTGTCTGATTTCTGATTCTAATATTACGGTATCTGGTTGATTGGCCAGTATTTGTTTATCTATATGGATGGAGAAGTCCCACAGGATCTTCGCGTCATTATTCTCTAATATATGTTATATATTTTATTTTTTTATTATGATTATAATATTATTAGATATGAGATATTATTAGATATATATATATATATATATTATATTTCATTAAATAAGATTATAAATTATAAATATTATATTATATATATTATTAAATAAAAAATAATGCGCAAAGGAAAAGCTTTTTTCTAGGTAAAAACATTGGATTTGATTTAAAATTATTAATGAAACTACAAATTATGATTTAAAAATGTAAAAATAGTTAATTCAAAATTGTATATGTATATAATCATCTGATCCATGGAAAGAGTGAAACAAAGTTAACCAACAATGGTGTGAACTATTATTATTTTAAAATTATTTATTCATCAATTATCTATCATTCGTCCAAAGCCTCTCATTTCAATAAAATCTCATTTTTCGAAAATTGATGGAGAATTTTTAAAAATTATGTTCTCTGTTTTTCATCTTTTTTCAATCATTATGTCTTCGGCGATTTTAACTTCATGTAAAATCTAAACAATAAAATCTATGATAGTGTCATATCAATAAGAAAATGGAAACTGGATATGTATGAATGTATGTACGTAAGCGAATATAGACGTCATATCCAAAATGTTTGTATTACATAAAAAAATATTTTTATTAGAAGGAAGTTGGAAAAAAATTAGAATGATGATGTTATCTGAAAAGATAAGTGAAATTTTTCCATTAATATAAAAACTCATGCCATTTACGAAATTTCGATGATGTTTATTTAATGTCTGTCAAATTTGTTACAAATAAATTGAAGCAATTCGAAGGACTTAACAAACCCAATAATTTTAACATTAAAATTTATTAAGGAATGAGCAGAGAGATGCTTGTTGGCACCGATACAGGTGATCATTAAAAATGCATGAGAAGGTGGAAATGGTACAAAACATTTCGTAAAAGTAACCAATTACCGCAATGATATTTAGAAAATGATTAAGACTCATTGAAATATAAATATTTTAGCACAAAACCGATAAGAATCCATAGGTCGCGTATAATTATTACAACTATTATAATTATAAATAATAATATTATTAATACAATATATTATAATAATATTGCATGCTTCCAACAAGTTGAACCAGTATGAAAAATTGAATAAGATAACTGATGTTAAAGTACTAAAATATTTTAAGAAACGACCGGAGAGGTTTATTTACCTAATGCAATTTTTTTTTAAGAGTCCTCACCATTACTGGTTAAACTCGCCCCCTGGCTTGTCGCATTGAGCAATATGCCAGGGAGTCCCTTGGCAATAGAAATACAGGTGAGTCGCCATTATAATCTGGATTTCTGCGCAGATTTACTCCTGCGAAGGAACGAACCTCAGCGTCGGCGCCCCCAATCGAGCAATAACCCACTGAGCCATTCTGTCCCCATTGCCTAATTATCCTGAAAAATGCGTGAGCCGACAGATATGTCGCAAAACATGAATATAGAAGTAATTAATGAGCGATTTTACAAGAAAAATTAAGCACAATCCTTGGAACGCGAAATTCTCATATGTGTGCAATAGAAATGCAGAATTAAATCGCTGAAGGCGAAGTTTAGGGAGGGATCCATCCATCTAAGTACTTAGTTACTGTTGTATAATTTATTATAATTACTTATTATTATAATTACTGACTATTAATATTTGAATGGACTGAAATTTAGAAAAAAACCGAAACAAAATACATAAAGCCAATATTTTTTTGCAGTGATCGACAAAAATTTTATGCATTAAAGATTGATTTATCATTTATTTGCTGAAGCCTTTGCCTTCCGAAAAAGAAATAACTGGGCTTTGATACAACGAACGAACCTTTTTGCGAGCCTTAGTAGAATACGTCTTCGCGCTATAAAAATAGTGAATCTTCTTTTCTCACTACGAATCAAAATTAAATCCAAGCCTCATTCTGTTTAATTTGCATTGAATTCTCGCTTATTCGTTAGAAGAAAGTTGACGAAAAATTGACAGGATGAGGCTTGTTGGAAAAAAAGAAGCAAAAATATTCTTATTAATGTAAATACATTTCTATTTCTATAATGTTTATTGATCGCATATAAAATGTATGTTTTTAATAAAGTGAACCATCATGAAGAAATTTAATGAACTCGCTAGAACACTGAAATACTTAAATATGCATTATTATTTTGCGCTCGATTGATGAATCGCAGTTGCAAGGCTCTAAATGCATAATCAGGATGCTAGGTTCAAAGAGCTCTCTCCATGGAATAAGATCTTTAACAATCTTAATGGGATTTCCATCCTTATCCCGGATCACTCCATTGAGCACTTTTTGTCGAGCACTTGTTGCCTTGCAAAATAAACGGAATGCTGGATGAGGAGAAAGGAAATGAAAACATCCTTAAAAAGCACTGAATAGTTCTCGGTGATAGCCCTCGAGATGCTATTTCCATATTTAAAGCCATGTTCCAGTATCGAATTGCGTAGCGCATTGACGCGACAGTTGCATTTGCAATTCGATTGGCTATAGCTACGCCTGTTCGTTGATGGCACAATCAGACGACTGGATAGTCTCGTCTGAGATCGAGCTTTCTTTCAGCTCTTGTATCTAGCGGTGGATTCAGCAGCTGGAGGCTTCAATTGATTATATATGCTAGTCTTAGGCTTATTGAGCTTGTTGCTGATAGCATCTGATGGATGCTATAATCATTACACATACACGAGCCATTAGAAATGATGCAAAACTTTTCGCAGAAATAACACAGAAATATAAAGAAAAATATACTTACTATATTTAAACAACTATTTTACAAAAATAGTTTCGCGCATTATTATTCAATTTATATTTATTACACAATATTTCTTTGAAATACGAAATTTTTCTAATTTAAAGCTAAATAAAAATCCAAAATTCGAACAAACATTACGAAATTTCATTAGCTGTAAAAGAAAATAAAAGAAAATTTTTAGAAGACAATTTGTCTTCTGTTGTTATTTCATAAATTGAAGTGAAATCATTATTTTCGAAAAAATAAATTCAATAAATCAAAACACTATTTTTTTCTTAGTGGATAAATCAAATCAGAAAAAAAATATAACCAAAAATATTTTGAGGAAATTTTTTAATACACATTTTAGTTCCATTTTACACGTATTAAGCTCTTTATAAGGGGAAACAAATCATGCCGAAATAATCGGTGAATATTATGTCGATGAGCTTCAATATGCTATTGCCAGTGGTATTTATTTTATTGCAAATCGGTGAGTCTACTCTCAATATTTCGGTTACCAATTTTCCTCTATCATCTTCACTTTCCTGAAATCGTGTTATCGCACTAAGCAGGAGAAAAGTGTATGTGAGAAAAGTGTAATAGAGGATGAAATTTTGAATACAAAGTAAAATTAAGGTGTATCTGTGGCTTCGAAATGTCCTGCTTCAAAAATTACTGAAGAAATGCGATCGTATGTATTAAAAGAACACAATAAGCTTAGATCGCAGTTAGCAAACGGTGAAGCAGAAGCATCGAACGGGCTTATGCCAAGAAGTTCGAACATGCATGAATTGGTTAGATAAATCATATCAAAATTTTTTTATTGACGAAAATGCAGATAACGGCGTTTCAGTTGCTCTGAGCTTACTGAATGAATTACAATAACATTCAGGAGTGGGACTGCGGCCTGGAAGAAAGAGCGCAACAGTGGGCTGAATATTGCGATTTCGAGCATTCAACGCAAGAATTCCGTAATTATAGCGGTGAGAATTTGTATGCCAGATGGGGATATGAAGAACCGAAATTAGGTAATTGTTATTTCGAAATAGTTCGTTCATTGAAGTTTTTACTTTTCCAGTTGTACAAAATATATGCATACATTTGAAACTGAAACAATGATATTTCGAATGATTCTAATCTAAAACTATATTAAAACGTCTTATCGACTAATTAATTCTCTTTAGATAAAAAGCAATTCGAAGATGCGCTAGAAGGATGGTGGTGGGAGGAAATAAAAGATATGCCAGCGCATTCTACAATGGATGGTACTCCAGGAAGCGTTTTGCATTTTACTCAGGTTATTGCGAGGAAATTATGAGAATTTTATTGCAGTTCCACTAGTAGTACTTTATTTAATACGTTGACTAGATTTTTAAATCTTTGATGCTTGAATATAGTTATTTAGGCTAAGCTATAAACTATAACTATTCTTCCTCTTCTAACAACACACACCATTACTGGTTAGGCTGTTTCCAGTGGCTAGAAGGGTAAGACTAGGAGAAAAGTGAGTAAATCTTCCAATCGGCGCTATCTGATGCTCTCGTCGATGGTAATAGAAGTCATTCCTTTTTCCAACGTCTCAGTCCGTATATTGCTGGTCCACCTATCCGTTCAAAATCTTTCCTGACTGCTCACTCCAGATCTTGATTGGTCCATCTCACTTTTGACGCTACGCGACACAGGGTTTAGCAAGTAACGAAATATATGTCATCTATTGTGGTGACGAGGATCGTGACCTAATCAGCGAAGGTGACGCTATATGACGGCATTGTTAATATAAGGCATTTAAAGGAAAGTGGATACGATCATGTGAGGTTTTATTCACTCAGCGTGCCCCTAAAGTGTACCTTAGACATGAGTGATCAAAGACAGATCCTTCACTTCTTAATATCCTTCACTTTCACTGGCCATGTCTCGCAATCATAATAGCAAGATCCAGTGAGTCGTAAATATGCTCTTTCGTTTTTATGGTAATTTTATGACAGCTCCATAAAGGTTTCGTCAACCGGAAGAATGCATTTCTAATTGACGTTATCCAAGTTGTAGAATCTTCTTTTGCGTGGCCATTTGTTATTACATTGGGTCCAAGGTATTTAAAATCAGGCACTTCTTCAATCGGCAATGAATTTATAAAAGGAAGTATTTTATCAACTTCTTGTAGACGAAAATACTTTCGTTTTATTTACATCGATTCTAATCCGATTCTCGCTGCAGTTGCTAATAAGTTTTTTGCATTATTTGCATTGAGTCATAACTGTCAGCAAAAAGGACTACATCGTCAGCGTATTTAAGATTTGTGATACGATGCTCTGGACTGAATTGGACACCTCTTGAGTGCCGACAAGTGGTGTCCATTATCCAATCTATAGCATATTGTAGAGGAATGGATATAATCTTGGCTGGCACTAGTTCTCCTTTCGAAGGAGTCGGTCAGTTCTCCATGTAGACATGCGCCCACGTGCACTCATAAAATGGCTTTGTCAGTCGAATGGTTTTTTCCTGAACACCGTCGTTCCATCACCCTCAAAAGCGCCGCTCTATCAATTGGAACGAAGGCAGCCGCAAATTCGATGAAATGCGCGACAATGGGTTGCAAATATCTGGAGCGATGCTCCAGCACCATTCTCAATGCGAATATCTGGTGAGTAAAATCATGCTGCGGTCTGAATCCAACTTGGATTAGGGCGCATTTTGCTATCGAGTACTTCCATAAGTATTGAGTTTACTGAGTAAAAAAGAAGCGAAAATTTTCACTGAGTCGTCTAGTAGGCTGATTCCTCGACAGTTATCGCAGTATGTCATGTTTCTTGAATATTCTTGAATACTGGGAGCAGAATTGCTTTGCTCCAGTCATCTGGGGATATTTCATTCTTCCAAATCAGAGTGTATATTTATTGAAGATGCGTTATGAAGGACAATGGACAGCATTTGAAAAGCTCATCCCGAAGACTATCTTCTCCTGGAGTGGCCTTAAGCTTAAGAATAATAACGGAGATTATTTCTTCTTCTATTTGCGGTTCGCAATTGCAAGCGTATGGTTCGACAAACGTATCAGTTATGTCTGAGTTAACAGATGGTGCATCATTAAGTTTAGCATCAAAGAATTTCTTCCATCTTATGACGCGATCCTTTACACTCTTAATAACCATCGCTGTCCCTCACCATTTCACTGATCGTTCCCCGAGTTATAGTCTCTTTACGAAGTTTTAATTCCGCGTGTTGCTGTTGTAATTCTTCGAAGCATCCGATAGTAAGGAATTCCTGACATTCTTGCTTTGGCAACCTTTTCAGACAGCTGGACAACTGCTTTCGATACTCAATTAGCGCACTTCCTACAAGTATGCCCAAGCTTGGAAGTGGTTGACTTTCGAAGATATTGCGTAGTTTGGAGTAGCATTCATTTGTTGTTCTAGAAAAGTCATTGATTTTTTCGAGATGCTTTAATAATTCGGTTTGAAATGCACTCAATGTCCCTGAGTTTTCTAGTTTGTGATAATTGAAGGATCTTGGGGAATGCTGTTTTCGGTGAATTGTCAGTTTTATGCAGATCTTGGCTCGAATCATAACGTGGTCAGATCCATAAAGATTGCTCGCTTCGGCGCCGTGATCTGAACGACTATCTAGTGCGGAACTCTTCGAACGGCGACTGATTAAGATGTAATCAATCTGGTTGAAGTGTTGGTGATCGACTGATTAGATATTTTTTACGATACCGAAAGTACGTATTAGTAACAAAGAATTTATGCTCTTCTGCGAAACGAAGAAGGCGTGGGGCGCATCCTCTATTGGCGCACCGATCTCCGATGCCATATTTGCCAGTAGTCATTGCAGCGGCATTATAACCTATGCGCCCATTCCAGTCCTTCCTTCCCTCCTCACCAATTATGACCATATCGTATTTCGGTTGAAGTTCTGCATAGAACTTATCTTTATCACGGTCATCTGCCAACAGAGTAGAAACACACTGATGACCGAGATATTGCAGAACTTACCCTTAAAACGGCCATACGCCATACGGTCTCCACTCAATCAAAGCATAATGGGCCTTGTCAGACATGATAATCGCTACTCCATTTCGACCCCGAGTTATCTGCACAATGATATAGCCAGTATATATCTTTGTTCGGAGCCAGGATTAGTAATTTCTCGAGACCCAAAATGAGGAAAACGGACCTCCGATAAGCAGGCTATATCCACACGATATTTAGATAGGGTGTGGACAGTGATCACTTGACTCGCAACTTCCATAAACGTTCTGACGCTCCGCGCTGATACGGCTAATATCTCGCGTGCAAAAGGCTGTTTCCCTTGATAGGTTTCGAGTAATTACCCTGGCTTGAGAGCATATTTTATTTATCAACCTTGGTGTCGCTTTACGCTCGAATTGTATACTTATCGCATACACCACCAAACTATCATACGTGCCGGAAGATGCGGGCACCATATCAAGAATAGCTGACATTTTAACCATAGAGTCACAGGTGGATCTCCAACAAACTCCCAGACTTTTACACGACAGGTTTACATAATATTGTATTATTTTATAATAATATCATAAATATCATAAATTTATATATGTATATTTTATTTCAATTCCTTGTTCTTTTTTTTTTAAATTGGAAAAAAAAAGCTCGTAATTTATAGAAATTCTAAAAATATTCTGAAAAAAGCGTAAAAAAAATTGCAGCGGAAAAATATACAACCGCTCAAGATTCGAAAATTTTATTTTATTTTATTTTTCTACATATTGCATATATTATATACAAAAAAGAAAAACCATAAAGTCTTTATCATACTTTTATGATTCTGATTAGATTTATTAGATTTATTTTATTAGATTTTTTTAAGATGGCGTGGGCAATCACAAGCAAACTTGGCTGTGGAATGGCTAAATGCCACAATAATAATGGATACCCATTTATGGTTCATGTCGTTTGCCATTATGGCCCAAGGTATTTTTTATTTTTTATCAACAAATAAGTCTCAATATTGAATAAAATGTGAATTTCAGAGGAAACTGGGATAAGACAATCTATGAAGAAGGTGAACCATGTAGCAAGTGTTCGGATTATGGCAGAGTATGTAATGGTAATGGTCTTTGTGCTGCTGGTGATAAACCCGCTGAAGCGACTCATGATGATGAAACTCCAAGCGAAGAGCCTGAAGAAGAACTTATAAGCCATGAGGAAACCGAAATGCCAAGCGAAGAACATACTGAAGATGAATCGACAATGCCCAGCGAAGAATATGCTGAAGATGAATCGACAATGCCAAGCGAAGAATATACTGAAGATGAATCGACAATGCCAAGCGAAGAACATACTGAAGATGAAACGACAATGCCAGAAGAAACTGAAAAGCCTGGTGAGAAAGAATTCGAAAAAGTGATGTAGGAAAAATAGGTGCAGCATCAAAACGAACTTTACAATATTTTCGCTAATTATTTATTTATCTTTATTATTAATCGAATTATTTATTTATCTTTTTACAAACAATTATCATGGGTCTTAACGTTCACCTAATTGCTCCACATTGTCATCTTATGATTTTTTTTGGAATTTTCATAAAGCGCATCTCTAAATTTTGTTTTTTCCATCAGATAGTTCATGTTCTGCATCGAAGATTACTTCGGCTGGTCGAGAAAATATTTTGAAGAAGCTTAATGACATTCGGACGAAAGTTGCTATGGGCCAGTTCTCGACATCAGATGGAACGTATCCAGCAGCCAAGGAGATGTACAAACTGGTTATTATTTACAAAAGTTTGCAAATTTTCAGAGGAATTTTATAATCTATAACAATACAGTGATTGGCAGTGGTTGGTGATTTCTATTCTGATTTTTTTTGGCTGCATTTTATTCTAATTGGAATTGAAGAGATGGAATTGTACGTTGGAAAAGCTGGCTCAGAAACACGTGGAGAAATGCAAATATGATCACTCGGAGTATTTCCACAAATATTTTTATGGCGATGGCGTTGGTGAAAGTTTGTTTTCGAAATGGACTCTTGACAACAATCCTACAGGTGGGCTTTTAATCGAGGAAATCTTCACAATTTTTTTATTATGAAGAAATTTATGAAAAGCGTGTTGACATTAATTCTATTGATACTTTTTTTGGTGAGCTGTATTCGAGAAGATTTCTCGTGGTTTTTATAATGCGGTAAAAGGTTAACTTTTAACCTTTGCCCCATCGCCCCACTTGTAAACGAATTGCGGAAATGGTTGGTGGAATAAAAAACTGGTTGGTTACCTAATACGATAAGCACCAATGTTGCAAGGCAGATCTGACGTCTTTTGATCGTCATTGCCTTTACAATCCTTTCGACCTTAAAACATATCTGTATGCGAGAATATTCTCTATCTTTTATTTACTGTCCAAGCTCATAATAAGCTTTGACCACGCCATGACATCACCTACCACAAATCACCTGCTTTTCATCAGCAAAATGGGTAATTGGGTCGATTCACTTGTTTTTTGCTAATTTTTGCAGATGATATGTTATCAGTGGCGGTGGATGAGTGGTTAAAAAGTAAACCAATGGGAGAAACAAGTTTATCAATGGACAAATATTTCGAAACGTTGAATCAAGATTTAGCGCAGGTTTTGCTCAGTTTTCTTCATTGCTATTCTTTGATTTCACGTATAGCAAAATTGTAGCAAGAAATGGAAAAAACTGTAAAATGCTACTAACAAATGCGCGGAAATTAAAATTTGATGGTTTTAAAAAGTGGCCACATTTCTGAACGCCTAATTCTGAACGAGCAGAAGGAGTTAAAGATTAAAAATTCTGGGCAACATTTTTTATTCATAATTTTAATTCCCTACCTGTATATTTCAGATAATCACAGCACGCACAACAGATGTTGGCTGTGCCGTATCATTCTGTGAATATGCTGAGCATCGCCCTTATTACTTCCAATTTGTTACTTGCAATTACTATCCAAAGTAAAGATTTATAAATTATGTGTATAAATTTTCTTCTTATGCTTGTGATGTAGTTTAGTTTTTCGAGACTTATTAATGGAACTTGCGATGGAAGAATCTTCCCATTATTTATAAGAAAAACATATATTTTAGTGGACAACAGTGGAGCACCGCCATATATGAAGAAGGTGGGAAATGCAGCAGTGATAAGGAATGCACGACGTATTCTCCGTCAAAATGCCTATCGGAAGGCTTATGTGAAAGACTATAATTCTATAGTTCTCTATTCTCAATATTTTCATTTAATGCGATGAAAATAAAGTTATAAATTGGCTTTAATTGCAAATTTGTAAATTATAAAGAAATATAAAAATTAGGAATCAAATATAATTATAATTAGTGGCTGTGCAATCTTTTGGGTCAGCCAAACTAAAGATGATATACATTGTTGGAAGAAGGAGAATCATACAACTTAGCCAATTGCAGTTCATCGATCAACATACCATATATTATGCAATTTGTTTGTCACTGTGGTCTGACTGGTCTGAACATTGGTTCACTGCAGCAGACCTGACCTCTTATAAAATGAATTCAAAAAAATATTCTTTTTAAATGTTAATCTTATGGTATGTCAATCAAAGTCAGTTAGACATCAATCAAAGTTTGCTCTCTACATTTCTTCGCTTTTTAATAACTCTCGCTATTGTTGGCTCCACAGGCTAATAGGTTAGGGTGTTTCTAAGCTGTTCGATGTTGTCGCTGTATGGTTATATAATAGGAGCCATTCCTATTTCTATGATCTATGTCCATATATCACTGATCTCTTTAGACTTTGAAAATCTTTCCTTTTGACGCCATCAATGACAAGATTAGATGAAATTTACATTAAGTCCTTTCGTGGGCAACGAGGGATGTGCCATAAGCAGCGAAGCTGAGGTCCTTTATACAAATTTATCTAAGTAAAAGTGGATGCAATCGCAGGAAATTTTATCAACTCCGCGAGTCTTTAAAATTTATTTTATCTTGTCTTAACAGGTGCACCACTATTATCCTGTGTTACTGATCTTGTCAATTTATGCGGATCTTAGCTTGTACTATGGCACCACTGTTAGATCCATGAGGGCTGCTAATACCCTGATAGGAATGATCATTTAGGAGAGAATTCTTCGACTGGCCACTGACTAAAATATAATTAATATAATTAATTTCTTGGTTGTTGATTATATTGGAACTTTCATCGATGGCAGAAGCATGGGCTAATAAGAAGCTAATAAGAGGATAATGTTCTTCGGCATATCGAAGGCATATTTCATTGGTGCACTCTATATGAATGCCGTATTTGTCAATGACCATATTCGTTGTAATAGCACTGCGCGCGCGCCAATGCTCCCCGATTATGGCCATATTATGTTTCAAGTAGAAATGCAGTTAAAGCTTCATAGAACTTACCTTTATAACAGATCATCTGCATACAAAGTTGGAGCATATACATTAAAAAGCGAGATATTGCAAGACTTTGAGGCGAGTGTGACCATATATATGGTCTTTCACACGATCGCTATGCTATTTTTCCTTTAGTTATCGGAAACACGATAATGATATAGTCGGTACCTCTACTCGGTTTAGTAATTATTCGAGACCGAACTGAGGAAGATATATATCATTGTAATTCTTCGAAACATCCAATAATTAACATCTCCTGACCTGTATTTTAACAATCTTTTCAGACGGCTGGTGAGTTGCTTGTTGCTTCCGATACCCAACTAGCGTACTTCCTATTATGTCTAGCGTGAATATGGCTGATTTTTCCTTAGTTGGGACCAGTGTTCTGCTGTTCCAGAGATGCACTGTTCCACTGATGTTCATTTCACTGAGGTGCCCCAAATAATGCAGCGTAGGAGGACTTGGACGCAATGTCAAGCAAACTTCACAATTTTTACCATAGAATACAAGGAGAAAGGGTTACAGGTGGATCTGCAGCAGTCATCCGGATTTTTGATTACTCAACAAATTTGCACTGCCAGAGATAAAGACTTGAAATTTGGTTCCAACATAATTCTTCTTAAATAAAGGATTGAAGTTACGCTATTTCTAAGACCTATGTGCGATTTCTTCTCTCATTTCACGCAATTTCTTTATTTGAAGCATTAATTAGTGGGGCAAATTACTGTGCAATGTTCTTCTTGCTCCATGAGTGTCCAATTTTAAGGCAAAACAATAGAAACTATTTGCAGCATTTCATTTTGCACAATAACAAAAGGCTGTTTTCAATTTAATTAAAGTCCGCAAATTTCCATTTATTGAAAAAACTTGAATTTATTTCGCACCATGGGGATGAAAATATTACGTGGAGGACCGGAATGCTGAACAAAAAAATGGAATTACTAATGAATCCCCAGCAGCCACTTGGATTCTGACAGGTTTGGTACTGTCAAAACAAGTGAAAGGATAAAAGGATTAAGGGTGGAAAACAATTAAATAAGCAAATAAAAAGAAATATCGACTTAAAAACAAAGCTTATCTTAAAATTATTAAGCCAAATTTATTTTGTTTTATTACTAATTGCTCGTGTTTAATTTAAAATTGTTTTTGTATATATATTTTCATCTGAAAATTTAAAAAAGATTGTTTGGAGAAATTTGAAAAGTTCCAGAAAATTAGCAGAGCAGAACAGAAACAACGAAAAAATTTTTCATACCATATATTTTATAATGATACATTTTAGAAAATCACAGCTCGTACAGAGATTGGCTGTGAAGTATCATTATCCTCAACATCGTCCATGCTACCTACAATTTATTACTTTCAGTTATTGTCCAAAGTGAAAATTTAATGTATTTGAATATCTGAATTGTCTTCTTACCTTAACGAAAAACGAATATTTATCTGCGACCTAATTTTCGCAGTGAGCGACGATGGCGCACCATTTTATATGAGAGTGGTGAAAAGTGCAAGGGGATGGGGAGTGTACGACGTATGCTTCATCAAAATGTCTGCCATCAGAAGGCTTATGTTTCACGGATCTCGTGCAAAGAGAAGCGGTATGCAATGAAGAATTTGAAGAAAAATCGGATGAATTCACGGAGCAAGAGGAGATAGGAGAGGAACCTGAGAGCAGTGAAGAATTAGAGGAAAAATCGATTGAATCCATGGAGGTATACTGTTCTACTTTCGTTAGTAGTAGTTCATTTAAGGATGGCTAAATGTTTGCTTGGAAAAAGTGTTCCATCAGAGCTCATCACAAATTTCGAAATTGTTAATCTTCTATTTAATTTTACTGGCCTTCCTTTTTATCTTTCTCTTAGCATACAACTTTTCGGTTTCGTAGATAATCTGGTTGCAAAAAATTTTTATAGTTTTTTTGGTCTCAATTTAATTCCAAATTGATTCGAAGAGACCGAATTCTCACCAAAGTTTGGCAAGTAAAACGCTGAAAATTGTGATTATGACGGTTCAAAATAATTCCACATATAATTCCACAAAATAATCCCCATAACGGTTGCGTTGGCAGAATTTTCGAATAACCAAAGATGCGCCTTTTATATTCTAATCAACGAAATTTGCAAATCTCTATGATCACATTAAGGTATTAAAAGAAGCCGACATTACTAAATCCACCACTTTTTTCCGAGCACTGCTCTAGAAAATTTTTCAAGTGATGTTGCGGATTAAAATTTGGCCGATCTTTAAAGCATGGCAGTGAATATTAAAATAAGTGGTGAGTGAAATCAAAAATTATTGGATTTTTGATTTCTTAAGAAAAAATGCCTTAATTGGTTCGATGAGAGAGAGATAGACCTGATCGTTTCACCATATAGTCACATGGGGATAGAAATACAGGTGGGTTTCCAGCAGCTACCGTCCTTTCCTCTACAAAATTCAATTATGCGATAGACTGGATATTGCTTGTCGGCACTCAAGAGATGTGCAAATCAGTCCAGAGAATAGCATCACACACCTTGAACGCTGATGATGGTCTTTTTTGCTGATAGTTATAAGGATATGCAAATAATGTTAAACATTGCAACAGCAGGCTGCAGAAATTGGACTCAAAATCAATCTAAATAAAATAAAAGTATTTTCGTCTTATACACAAGATACTAATAAAATACCTATTTTTATCAACACATAACCGATTTTTATCAACTCATGATCGATTGAGAAAATGTTTGGTACTATGGATCCACTCTAATCCCAAATTGCTAGGCAAAGAATGAAATTGTAACTCGTACCATGGCAGCTAGAAATATGTTTTTCAGCTTGATGAAACCTTTATAAAACCGTTGTGATATCACTATAAAGGCGAAAACCAGTGCCCATATAGCTGTAATTCCCTCGATCTTGCTATATGGCTGCGAAACATGGCCAACGAAAGTGGAAGATATTAGTCTTTGACCACTCATGTCTAAGATACATTTTACGGATCCGTCGAACGAATAAAATCGAACATGACTGTATCCATCTTCACTCAAACTGTATACCAACTGTATTAATGTAATATGTAATAATGTTATCACTGAGCGTCTTCTTCGCTGGCTAGGGCACCTTCTCCATCGTACCACAAGAATTTTCGCATATTTCATTACTTGCTGAACAATGTGATGGATGGCGTCAAAAGCGAGGTGGACCAATCAAGATCTGGATTGATACAGTTAAAAAAGATTTTTGAACATATAGGGAACCAGTGATATATGGACATAGAAGTTGGAAAAAGGCATGGCTTCTATTACTACTAGCGATGCGTCAGACTGCGCCGCTTAGAAGCGTCCTACTCTTATAGCCATTGGAGCCAGCCTAACTAATAATGGTGAGAACTGCTAGAAGAAGAAGTTTGCTCGATGAGCTATTATCATCAAGATTTCGCAAATCTGTCGACCTATCATATTTTTTATATAGCATATGTCATTCCCTTTTTTACCAAGCTCGCCTATGGGTTCATAGCCCATTCATTTAAAATCTGGTAATATCGTATAAGTCAAAGTTTAACGTGAACTTCCCTTTGACATCAGCCACAACAACTTATGGTATATAGCTAGAGATATGACAGTAGCTGTAACGGCTGTTGAATAACAACTTTTAATCTCTGCAGAGGATTCTTGTGACCATACCATTATTATGAGAAGTTATTAGATCGTAGTTAAGATTTTTTCTTCACCTCATATAATTAAATTCTTTATTCCATAGCCAAAATTTTAACCACATTAAAGGAATGAAAATGAACATCGAGAACGAAGAATTATTGAAAGAACTATTGCCTTTCACGACTATTAT